CATGAAACTACGTGTAAGAAAGGAAAAATGCCAAAGCAAATATCAACTCAAAAAATCAGCAAAAGTTGTATAAAAACCAAGGACAAAGACGTGTGAGAAGAGATAAAAAGGAAGTACGTGGATAATATTGCCAAAGAAGCTGAAGCAGTTGCTGAATAAGGTGGCAGAAGAACAGTTTATCAGCCAATACGTTTCTATCTGGCAAGTTTATACCAGCTGGAGGACCTGGTTAGGGATAAACAAGGAAAGACCTGAACAAAAAACAAAGAACGATGGGCAGTGCACTTTTCAAAAGTGCTAAACAGAACACTGTAGGAAATTTTTGACTGACGAAGAATTTTAACACCTAGTACCAGATACTGTACATCACAAACAAATTGAAGATGCAATAAAAGTTAAAACCTGGGACAAGAGCTGCAGGTGAAGACCAAGTCACCAAGGAAGTGAAAGCTTGTGATGAGACCAGTGATAAAAATCACTGAACTTTTTACAGTATACAACTGGAAAAAGCTTCCAGAACAATTGAAAAATAGCTTTATAGTCAAAATACCAAAGAAAGGTGACCTAAGTGACTGCAGTAACTGGTGAGGTATTACATTCCTTTTTAGTGATCAGCAAAGTCTTCTGCAGTATCATCTTAAACAGGATAAAGAAAGAAGTTGAGGGATAGCTAAGGGAAGAGCAGGCTAGATTTTGACAGGAAGGTCATGGGCTGAACAGATTTTCATTTTAGGAATAATCACTGAAGAGCACATCAAGTGGCAAAACCCATTCATCATACAGTTTAAGAAAACATTTTACAGCCTCCATTGTGATTCACTTTGCAACATTTTGAAGTGTTATGGTATGCCAATAAAAAAAAAACATGAAGGCTTTTTAAAAAAAATCAAGACGCAGCTTGCAGTTAAAGCAAATGCAGACTTGAGCAAATGGTTTAACATACACACCAATATCAAATGAGGATGCACCTCTCTTGTTTTGTATTACTGTTGACTTTATTATCAGAAATAGAAGAGACAGATACAACATAGGCATCACATAACAGTACACTAGGAGATTTCGATTTTGCTAACATAGCTCTAAGTGACAGCTCAACTAACATACAAGCAAATACCAAAAAACTCTCCAGTATTGTGAAATAAATATGAAATTATGAAAAAGCAAATTAATGAGAATTTCAGTAACTGCCAACTCAAACAGTATGTTAGAAGGCAAAGGAAAGCAATTCATATACCTTGGCAGTAACATGCAAGTCCATGGGGATATCCAGAAGGAAAGAATGTCACAACTTGGCAAGATGGCAGCTGAATTCACAAGATTAAACAAGATTTGGTCATCAAAAATCTGCAATTTAAAGACAAAACTACAAATCAACTCAAATTTTATTTCTACTTTAACATATGGGTGTGAAAACTGGAAATACACCAAAGGCATGGACGGATGTCTAATTCCTTGAGGAAGATAGTAGATATGAAAAGGAATGAATTTATAACAAATGCTGAGATTCACCAGAAAGTTCAACAACTGATCTCCAAAGTTATCTAGAAAAGATAGAAATATCTAGAACGTGTTAAGAATAAAACCAGAGGGTCTGCCACAAGCAGGCATGCCATTGGGTAGCTGGTGGAACATGTAAATGGGTCCAGTTGAAAGAATCCCTCCACTGAACAGTACTTCAAGGGAAACCATTTGGGATTTAACAATATAGAGGACATGCAAAGTGTAGAGCAGGTTGGAAATTTTGACCAAAAAAATGTCAAAAATGCTGATTAGTCAAAAAAGAAATTTTGTGGAAAAGTGTCAGTTTTGGAAGAACTTGCATCAGGGAAAATTCTCAGGTTCAGGGTGGAAATTATGGTGAAAACCAGAGAGAGAGGCTGCAGAATAGCCCATAGCTGAGTGGTTAGGGTACTCATGTGGGATGTGAAACACCCAGCTTCAAGTCCCTCCTCTGAGTTAGGCAGAACAGGGATTTGAACCTATGTCTCTCATATCGTAGGTGAGTGCCATAGTTACTGGGGTCTCTTGTGATTTTTCACAACAAAATTAAAAAGTTCTCCTTTTTGTTCCAAGAGAAAAAAGTTTTCAACAAACCTTGAATTTTTTTGTGAAACAGAATTTTTGTTTTCCGGCTAGCCCTAGCAAAATGCAACCCAGAATAGGCAGGGATGGCTGAGATTTATTCCCAACAACATGGGAAAGAGTTAGATTCAGAAATTCATCAAGCAGTTTAAGATTTTAAAGCATTTGTGGTATATATTAGTGTGTACTGTCTCAGTGAATAGCTGATTCACTGTACAATACATTAAAATGTACACATAACCAAGTAAAATTAAAAGGCAATTTTAACGTAAATCAAATTGAATGGGAAAACAGTAATTCAGATATAAAACTAGTGCTACATGCAAGTCTTAAAAAAAAAAAAAAAAAAAGCCCCCGCTTTAAACAAAACAACAAAACTCAGACCTGAGTTTTGAAACAGCTTCATCTTACGTTCTTAGCTATACTAGTGGACCAGCCTAGGAGTACTTCCAGAATGTTACATTCAGTAAGTGACAATGGATACAACTTGAGTAGAATATAGAGAAAGTAGTTCATGGGGGAAAAAATAGATTGTGTATTTGTTCATAAACACTGAATTTACACATTGTACAATTCATGTGGCTGGAGACTGATCATCTTCTTCTACGTATAGTCCAGGAATACAATCAGAAGAATACCATGCTGTGCTTAAAATCTTGCAGTGAATGCACTAGTTTTCAAACAAGTTTCCAGCTGGCCCGGAACTAAAGAATTTTTTTTCTAAACATAAGGACCTGGAAACCAAATGCCACTGTGCATGTGGGATGAAACAAAACCAGTAGCCAGAAGAATCCACCCATGTATTACATGCATTTCCCAAAGCAGAGCAGCTCTGGATACCCACTAAATCCTACTTTTAAGAGTATCTGGGCTGGGAACATGTATACTTGCTTTATCTGGATCTGTAACTTATTATCATAGTGTTGCATTTTTCTAATGGCTCACTGAGTAGAGAACTTCAAACTGCCACACCTCTCCTTAAAATTTTAATCCGCCGCACAAGCCTGCAGAGAGAGGCACTTGAGGTGGAGCACCAGTGATATGAGAGGAGGGAAGCTGGCAGGGCATTCTCTTCAGTTCCCTCTTTCCACTGGTCTGTAGGCCCAGTGTGATGTTGCACCCCTTAATGCTTTATAGAAATATGCTTATAAATGTAAATATGACATAACTGTAATATGTTTTATGCTACATATGCCATGTAACGTATCTTTGAAAAGGTTACGTTCTACTGAATGTATTCATCCTATTCGTATGCATGCATAATTTTTATATCTGAAGTTATGAGCGTTGGCTCTATGTTTGTATTTAAAGTGTTTGCTGTAGGAAGCACTTAAGACAGATTTGGTCAACATAGCGTGAAGGGGTTATTCAAGTAATTGGGAGTACTTAATTAACAATGAACATTGAAAGACACCAATCCACATCTGAGCTTTCCTGGGAACGTTCAAACTAACACGTGGGCAATGGCATTGGCCTGTAGAGAACTGAGTCATGCATGGACAAACGACTTGACCATGTAACTCCAAAACTCCATCTTGTAGCTATGATTCTACACAGGGAGAGAGAGGGGTTTCCACTCACAAGAGAGAGACTATATAAGCCCCTGGAAACCCCTCCGTTTTGTCTTTAGCTGGCTCAAGAGATAGCCTCTCCACCCCAAAGAGATGCCTGAAAGAAACTGGAACAAAGGACAGTAACTACAGGGGCGTGAGTGATTGTTGGACCAGACTAGGAGGAAGCCTAGTCTGTAAAAGAAGCTTATTGGAACATCTCTGAGGGTGAGATTTACCTGCATTTAGTTTCTTACTGTATTAGGCTTAGACTTGCATGTGTTATTTTATTTTGCTTGGTAATTTACTTTGTTCTGTCTGTCTATTACTTGGAACCACTTAAATCCTACTTTTTATACTTAATAAAATCACTTTTTGCTTATTAATTGACCCAGAGCAAGTAATTAATACCTGGGGGAGCAAACAGCTGTGCTTACCTCTCTATTAGTGTTATAGACTGCAAACAATTCATGAGTTTACCCTGTACAAGCTTTATACAGAGTATAACGTATTTATTTGGGGTTTGGATCCCATTGGGAACTAGGTATCTGGGTGTTGGAGACAGGAGCTCTTCTTAAGCTGTTTTCAGTTAATCCTGCAGCTTCTGGGGGACGTGGTTCAGACCTGGGTCTGTGTTTGTAGCAGGCTAGCGTGTCTGGCACAACCAGGTAAGGTACTGAAGTCCCAAGCTGCCAGGGAAAACGGGCTCAGAGGTAGTCCCAGCACATTAGGTGGCAGTCCCAAGGGGGTTTCTGTGACACAACCTGTCACACCCAGTTTATCAACCTTCAGGGTGTACTCCAACCAGCAGAGGGGTGATATGTGAGGTTGAATAGTGAGGGCGGACACTCTTGCCTCCCCCTACACTTTTTTTCCTCTTTTTAAAGTCTTCCTTATCTTGTGTATCTATTGTAGTGAGCTAATTGTTGTAATGCATATTTTTAAATGGATGACAGGACACCCAAAGCTTAATTTGAGCACTTTTTGGATATAGTGTAAATGGAAAGAGTAAGGTTTCCAAGAAGTTAGATTTGTTTCATGATGGCAACCATACAAAAAGCTTTCCATGTTTATCGGTCATGTTAGAGTTAATGCAAATCCTTACATCCCACTAGGTAAGGATATGTTGTGTAGGATTTGCATTTAAAAAAAAAAAAGAAAAAAAATGAACTGAGACCGAAGACTGATACACTGTTTTAGGTCAATTTTCTTCAAGGTAAGGCTACGAATTCCCTAATCCAACACGTAAGGATGTGCCAAATCCTAAAGAAGGCAAATGTACATGTATATTCAGAGAGGATTCACAAAAGGAATTCCAAATACCATATTGCAATCAAACATGAAACAGAACTAGTGATATAACAAGTGTAGCTTTAACAAAAAACATTTAATGCAACATTATGTATGCCTTACATTTACTCCATTTTCTAAAGGAAAATTTAGACAATAACTAATCCTGCACAGTGTATTCCTGCCATGATTTTTATCTACCATAAGTCACTGCCTTATTCTGAAATTTCAGTCTATACTGATCACTGGGTACAACAGGAAAAGCAAGAGTGATGGAATAATTGGGATGAAAGAGGGAGAATTTGATTCTTTCCACTGTACACTTTAACAGCTGCTTTGTCTAGAAGTTGGCTGTAGTTTACATTTAAATATGAATATAGTTACTTTCAGTTGAAAATTCTGAAAGAAAGATGCTGCTTGGTTTGAACCCCTTTTGACTACTAGACCTGATTACTTTTCCCCAAAAAAACCTTAATGTGACATTTTCCATGGACAGCAGGAATATCTGACGAATTAGATAGTACAATATAACACAATATTTTGAATTTTACACACCTTTTCCTTGAAAGAGTTACAGTTATAAAGAAGCCAAGTATAGACAGGACAAAATAAACCACATACACTAATGGACGCCAACATCATTGCACTGTCATTTAAAAAGCTACATTAAACACTGGATGTCATGCACCTACAGCCATTATAAACTACTGAAATTAACTGCTCTTCAATATGAGTGGAATTACTGAGTTGCCCTAGAAAGTCTTTCATCTAGCTAGACAAAAAGCTATAAAATAAAAGGAAACTAGTGAAAGTGTCATCTTCTCAAACACCAACATAATAGCGTCAACTGTAACGTTCATTCTGAAATCGAGGGGCATAGTTTCTGGGACTTTCATTCTCCTGTGTTGTGATTAGGTCTATAATGGCTGTCAGCACTGCAGTGTCCCTGGATTTAGTGTCATTCCAGTCCACAGGGTGTGGGTTTTCAATTTTTTCTTGTAGAAGGTCATCCAGTTCTCTTCTTAAATCCTGTAATAAGAAAGTTTGTTGGAATAAAAATAGATACAATCTCGAAAATTATTGTTTAACACTACTATGCAAGTTATTAAAAATCATGTGGACTTTCAGTTGTACAAGTATCTTTTATCCTGCTATAAATAGCCATCATACCCCTCATGACAACCATAACATCCAACTAATTTCAACATTGTCACTTAAAAGATCAAAATCTGCTTTTAAAGTAAGCAAAGAGACAAAGTGGGTGAGGTAATATCTTTTACTGGATCAACTTCTGTAGGTGACAGAGACACAAGCTTTTGAGCTTGAACCTGAACAAGAACTCTGTGTAAGCTCAAAAGCTTGTGTCTCTGTCACCTACAGAAGCTGATCCAATGAAAAAATATTACCTTACCCACCTTCTCTCTCTCCCTAATATCCTGGGACCCACATGGCTACAACAAAACTGCACAGAACAATTTTAAGTAATTAGCAGGTTCTTTTCTTAATAATGGACTCCGGGGTGATGTTTCTGAGCTACGTCCTCTTTAGAGAAGTATAAATATATGTGGATCTCTGAATATCTTGTTCTACTGGCCATTAAAAGGCCAGCATTTCCATTAATTGCCACTATTTTCAGGTTAAGAATTCAATCAACTTAATAAATTGTGATTTTTCTTTTTATATAGTTAAAAGTAATCTCCAACATTAGGACTGAACTACTGAGTAAAAAAAAAATCACCCTCCACTCACTTTACTTTGTGCATTTGATGGCATTTTGTATCTAATTAGTTTCAGAGTTCTCCTCTTTAGACAACTTCACCCTATTTGCGTGGGGTTCCCCCACCCCGACCAAGGGTGAGAAACTTAAAAAAAAAACAAAAACAGGAAAAAGTGATTGGAAAAACTAAAGTGACAGGAAAACTCAAGGGCAGACATGGTAAATTAAAAAAAACAAATTAGATTTCAAGTTAATGCTGTTTTGGAAGTCTGACAAAAAATGCTAGAAACTAGGTCAGTATTTTTCTACATAAAAACTGATTTGTCCATTTAAGTTATTAAAGTGCAAAATATTTTCTCTTTTCATACTTCTGCACTCTTGGCCCTCATGACTACTTCAATTTTTAAAATACTTGGAAATGGGATTAAGAGATGGTTCAAGGACCAGACCTTACTCTTTCCACCAGAGGATCAATGCCAAAATTCACTGTTAGCCAAGGGACCATAAATAATTTTAAAAGGTCCATATCTTTAACCATTAGGGTTAGAAATTAATACCTTTTACCATCGGAAACCAGATTAATAGATTAAGGCCAGATGTGATCATTTTGATCATATAGTTTGACCTCCTGCATAACACGGATCATAAGACTTCCCTGAGATAATTCCTGTTTGAATTATAGCTTTTCTTTTAGAAAGATATCTAATCTTGATTTTAAAGTTTCCAGTGATGGAGGATCCATCACAACCCTTGTTAAATTGTTACAATGGTTAATTACTCTCACTGTTAAAAAACTGCACTTGAATTCTAGGCTGATTTGTCTATCCTTCACTTTCCGGCCACTGGATCATGTTATATCATTGCCTGCTAGACTGAAGAGTGCTCTTATAAATTTCTGTTCCCCATGTAGGTATTTATAGACTAACCTTTTTTTTCATAAGCTAAATAGATTGAGCTCCTTAAGTCTCACAATAAGGCTTTTTAAACTCCTTTAGTCATTCTTGTGGCTCTTCTCTGAACCCTCTCCAATTTCTCAATATTGTAGGGTCCACAAGTCAAGAAGAAGTGGACACAGTATTCCACTAGCAGTTGCAGGAGTGTCAAATATAGAGGGCAATATAATATTTTTAACTCTTACTTGAGATCCCCCTATTTATATATCCCAGGATCTCGTCAGTCCTTCTAGCCACAGCATTGCAGTTGGAGCTCACATTCAGCTCATTATCCAACATGACTCCCAAGTCTTTTTCAGAGTCACTGATCCCCAGGATAGAGTCCCCCATCTTGTAAGTATGGCCTACCATTCTTTGTTCCTAGATGTATGACATCACATTTCACTATACTAAAACACATGACTTGAGTTCATCTTATCAAGGTGATCCCAATCTCTCTGTATCAATGACCTATCCTCTTCATTAGTTACTACTCCCCCAGTCTTTACCAAGAGAGCTTGTAGATGACATAAATACTGATTTTATGTCCCCACCTCCCTCCTGACCACTGATAAAATTAAATAGTGTAGAGCAGAGAACTGATCCCTGTCAGATCCCACCAGAAACATAGCTGCTCTATGTTGAAACTAGGATTCTCGCTTTTCATTATTTATTAGCCCTGCAGGTCATAGTTATGACATTTAAAATCACGAGAAACACAAGGTAGGTGAGAGTATCTTTTATTGGACCAACTTCCGTTGGTGGGAGAGGCAGAGACAAGCTTTCATCTCTGCCTCTTCCATCAACAGAAGTTGGTCCAATAAAAGATATTCTCACCTACCTTGTCTCTCATATCCTGGGACCAACACGGCTACAACAACAGTGCAAAAAAACAATCATATCATTTTGATTGCCATCCACATGCATCTTACTCTCTGAGTCACACATGATTTTGAGAGAGAGAGAGGATAAGGTAATATCTTTCAGTTGGACAGGATCCTATTGAGAACCACTAGAACAAGACAGTTCTTTATGGTTCTAAGAACCTCCTGTGTAAATATGCATTTAAAGAATTAATACAAAGCCTTGTTTTTTTAAAACAGGAAGTCAAATTAAAAAGGACTAGTTAGATGGAAGTTTAAAAACCTGAAACTCCATATACTCTTTTGTAAATAGGTATACTGTGATCTGTTTTATGAAGGGCCCTTCCGTCTAAGCAAGTTATTATTTTTGATATTACTATGAAAAGCTGCATAAAACAAAGGCAAATGGACTATCACCTTAACTAGATTTCCTATCCTAGCTGGAGACTCAAAGACAATCCATTCATCCACTGCAATAGTATCCTGATCTTTATCCTTCTGGATGGAAATATCTCCGCCGAAGAACAAAAGACAGTATGGAGAGACCTCTGTACAATCATACAGGTAAATCTGTAACAAGTCAAAAGTATTCAATAACACTAGAAAGCATATTAATACATCCAAAATGACATTACTATGTTACTTAATAAAAAATAAAAAACATTACCTAAGATGGTTTAAAGTCATTTCTGAATCAATAAATCAACTTAATTTCAATCCTGCAGCGAATCACTCAGTTCTAACACGATTATATAATCATATTTTTTTTATTAACGTGAAGACTGAAAGTGTTCATGAATGCTGACAATTTCCCTTAGCACAAAGCTTAGGTGAAGTCAAACAATTACTTATCCTCCTAGTTAAGGTAGTTGCATGGGAGTCCCAGTTAGAGCAAAAAAAACCCTTTCCTTTCCAGATGCACTTAATGGTATCAAGTGAAGGAACAATCTTATTAGAAGCAGTTGTTTTACCATTAGACTTATCCAAAGGTATCAGTACACAATGCACTACATTATAGATGCAGTGTACTGAACCCAGGTCTCTACCCCAGGGAACTGACAATCTGCAGGCATGTAAGTTCAAAAGAGTACAAAAAAAACCCAACAGTGGGCATATTATACGCAGAATTCTACATGACAAAGGCAGGCCCTTCGAAATTTCCCTCAATCCTCAAGAAGCAAACAGAGGGAGATTGACAAAACATTAAGTTGAAGACTGTTCCAGAAGAATGGGATGGCATCAGAGGAAGAAATTCTAATGTGGGCAAAGAGAGCCAAGGGGGCTGTCAAAACCAGAAATATGGTCAGAAGGAGTGCAGAAGGAGATGTGGGAAAAGGTGAAGTAGGGGTTGGAAAGTTAGAAATTGGAGAGAAGCTAAAGAGAGCAGCAGCTGATTTGTCACACCAGCAGGAAAAGGCATCTCAGCAGCTGAGTTCTGGAGGGATTGAGAAGAGAAAGATGGGCACAGAGGGAAGTACTAATGGCAGAGATGGTCAGCAGTGTGAAGTTTGCAGCAGCCATGCCAACCACCACCTATGGATTCATATTAGCTACCAAGCTTCCTGAAGATTCAGGGTGTTTACCTTGTGCAAGTTCATGACAGGTGGTAATTGCAGCTAATATAGCTGTCTGGAGTGCAGATTAAAATATGTAAGATACTTAGTGTTTCAATATGAAAAGATTTAACAGGTGGCATCACGCCAGATGGCAACCCACTTCTTGAAAACATACTATTTTTTAAGACAATGTTTTCATAGTCAAGATACTAAGTAGGTGCAATTAATAAGCTAGTTATATACATTTATAAAATGCAATATTGCCTTGATTTTAACAGAAGTTACCTGACCACTTTATTATATCAAATATTAAGTTGTACCAAACGCAAAATGCGGCTTTATGTTTTAAAAAGTTTACTTATTTAGTTTCAAAAATACATTACCATACAGGTTCAGAAAGTAGTAAAAGTGTTCACTTACGCTGCTAGTTCTCATCTTTAAGTGATACACAAGCCAGTTATAATGGAATTCTGTCTCTTCCACGTTAACAGATTTAGGATGAATGTTAACTGTTCCATCTGTCTTGGTGCAAACTTTCACCCTTTATAAAAAAAGATTTTTCACCAGTTAGAGGTAAACAGATATTCACAGATTCTGAAAAGGTACATCCGTATTTTATCCAAAAATTGATAGCCTTTTCATCAAATTCTGCACTGCATTGTTCTAAATTTCTGAAAATAAGTGACATTCAAAAACAGTTTTTACCTCTTCCCATAAAGCTGTACCTGGTTAAGAATGCATATTAGAGGTTAAACTGTCCCTTGTTAGCGAAGCCAGATATAGCACCCAGTTTTTAGGCATTTATATCTAACCTCTATTTCTTTCAAACAGGAAAACATTCATGACATTTTCAGCCTTTCTCAAAAGGGAGCACTTATGAGTTTACTTAGAAAGGTTGGCATACAATGCAAATTGCCAAAAAATTCTTGGAAAACACCTGCAAATCACCTGCATATGTGAGCTCTCTCTATAACAGGTACTTGAGATTCAGAGAGTGTAGGAAAATAGAACAAAATATTATTTACAGCAATAATTAGCCCAGTAATCAAGTAAAAGGGTATTGCATGGATAACCTATAGGAATCCTCACTAAATCAAATCCCCTTTTTGAGTCCCCAAGGGAACAAGAGGAGGAGAAACCAACTGCAAGATGCACATTGCATAGTTATTTTCTTCTTTCTGGAGCTCATTATCGTAGAGTTCCAGAATTGAGTACACTTACTTCAGGGCAGTGATTTTCCAAAAGTGGTTCATAAAGCCTTGCTTGCTACTGGCCCACAGAAGGGAGTGTTTTACAAAGTGGGCACTGGGGTGTTGGAAAGAGAGGCAGTCAATAGGAGAACTTCTTGCAAAGTGGTCTGTAGAACAAAACAATTGTTTTAGGCAGCAGTAGAATCCTTCAACTGGGCCAGTGCTGCTCATTTAAATTCACCTCGCTTAACCTGGTGGCAGAAATGCAGTATTGCCCCATCCTACTGAGTTGAATGAGGAAGCTACAGAAAACGCTCTTAGGATTGGTTTAACTTTAGTTTTGACTTTGAAAAATGGTAAGGTTGGGGACTCAGTCACTAATGATCTCCAGCACCTAATCAAGCAGACTAGGTTCAGTTCAGGCTGAGTGTCAACAAGAACTGGGTCTTCATCAAAGTGGAATGTTGATCAAAGGTGCACTACTCATGCTATTAATATGAGAAACATGTAGATTGTAGGAAGTGGTAAGCAAGTGGACTAGTGCTGCTGGGGTCTCTTTCTTTCCAGCCACCGAAGGGGATGGGAGAGGATGTAATGTCTCAAGTGTAATTGCAGAGAAAAACTGATAGTGTGATTCTTTGACAGTCATGCTGTTTCCATATTTGCGATATTACACGTTTATGCAACATTGTCAGGTCATCCTTTTAAGGATGTATTTGCAGGTCTCCAACTGTAAGTATTGCTGATTTAATTAACTGCATAGCTCACATAAATTAACCCACATTTATGATTAGTTACACAGAAGATTGCATCTAAGTACTTCAAAGTTACTGGTTAACACCTAAAAACTACCTGTGCAGCAAAGAATTTGAATACAAACATGAGATTAAAGCCTTACATTTTTCTCTTTTTGCTAAAGCTTTTACGGATCTTTGCAACTTTTGGATATAAACCAGCACAGATGACTGCTTTGAGTAACTTCTCATTATCTGTAGAAGACAACAAAGTAAATAATGCATTCTACAAACCATGAATTAGACGATCAAATATCCTCTGTCTTTTTCCACTGTTTACCTGAGTTGGTATTAGATTTGGGATCTCGGGGGTTTTTACTACTCACAAACCCAGCTGCAAGGAGATGTTCAGCAAACTGTCCTTTCATGTTAAGCAGCATCTAGGGTACAATAACAGGGTACAACATAACTCTTCTTGGAGAATGATGCTCTGTCAAACATTTTTTTCCCCACAAGTAAACATTTCCTGTCACACCACACTACTAAGATGACTACCTGAAGTGTATTTGAAGAGAGAAAATATTCCCAGCAATAATCCTTTTCACTTCTGAAACCACGTCGCCGGACCTCTTCCCAGCCCTGAAAATACAAAATACTTTCAACTACAGTTCAAAAGGGCACATATTTACTAACATCTATATGTAAAAAACAGAAAAGGGCAAAAAGTATAGCTATACTTTTCCCCAAGGGATCAGAAGTGCACCCTTTTATGTTTGATTTTCATGTAATGCAAATAATCTGCCAGGTGAAGGTAATAGATAGTATATAGAAAAAGTAAAATGACATTTTGATTCATTTTTTGTTTAATCAGTCTAGTTGTGCATTGGATATTTATTTGTTAAAAATTAAGTTTGAGCTCTAATCTTAGCAGTGAATGGAGTTATAACAGCAAACAACAGTTCTTGATGACAATAGCAGTAGCCTGGAGCTAATAGTGCAGCAGGACTTTTAGGCCAAGTATTTTCTTAGTTCTCATTGAAACATGGGAAAAGCTAAAGAAAGAATCTCCCCAAGACTGGTGCAGTCAGTCCCAGCCCCCTGTAGAGTCTGAGAGAAAAATTATGGACTTTGTTGATTTTTAAGGGAGGATGAGTGGAAGTGACTAAAACTAAAAAGAAAAGGTTTGATATCCATGTATTCAATACAAAGCATTTTATATTTAATAGCTATTTAGACATCTGCAACATATCTATGAAGTTACCCTTTCTCCCCACCTCTCCCTAATGCTACCAACAGGGAATTAGGTTATTACTACTACTATCATGTCAGAAACAAGGTTCTGAAACACTAGCAGGGCAAACACGGTTTTGTGTTGTGTGAAGAGGCCATACACAAATGCTTTGTGAGTGTATGGGAATGAGATTTGATTTTGAATCAAGTATTTCGTTTCAAGAGTTCTTCAGTTAAACTGAAAGCACAACTTCAAAGGCTAAGCCAACTGAACATTTAATTAAAACGGACTTACCACAAAAGCATTCACAACAGTTAGATGGTCACTTTTAGTATTCTTTGATAATTCTTTTCTTCTTGCATCTGCTACTTTCTCTTTGCCCTTTAAAGAAAACATAAAATTAGAATATACCACACATCCATGACTCTGGCAAGCTATTTTTCTCCCAATTTTTTTTTTTTTTATAGTAAGGATAAACATAGCAGTACTCTATGCATGCAAATTAAAGCTACCTCCAATAGGTAACAACAACACTCTATTGTGACAGATTGGTGGGCCACACTTATGGAAAACTTAAATTTTAGATTGACATTTTTAAGCTGAAGTATTTATACTGCCTCTTACTAATATCCTGCCAAGTCTTAAAATGTAAAGAATTTGTTCATTATATTTGCAATTCTCTTTTTAGATACTTTACCAGTGGAATCACAAAGGGGTCCTTGAAGCTGAGGCTGGCTGCAATTGTGAGTACTGGATCTAAGCAACAGAATAAAGCTCCAAAGAGGATCATTTTTCCAATATGTGGCTCAACTGGCAATCGTGCCAAGTGGACACCTAATGGAGTCAGTTCTTCTTGTCTATCCAAAGCATTCTGTTAGAAAAAGAAACACACTTCTTGAATATGGGGGTAGGAGAAGAATTTTTTGAAAACAGGCATTGTACCTAGTGAAGAAGGGGAAAACATGACAGCTGAAGAATCAAGAATCAAACTTGAATTTTTTTGAGTTTAATTTATGTATTATGCAATACAGAACATGGAGCGCTGGAATGTCTTCAAGAAGGCTACTTTAACAACAATCATCCTTTTATTTAGGCTTTAAAAAGCTTATTGGTGTTAGTAAAAGTTTATTGGACAAAGTACTTCTTGAGTATGTTGAAGGCACTACCCTAGATGGAAAAAAAGAGACAACAACAATAGATTTGAAGACACTATAAAGTGCTCTTTTTTCTCAGTGCTCTTCTGGTTTTTTTTACTCCATTTGTTACCATTCCTACATCTTTTCCCCTTTCTGTTCTGGACTCTGTTTATCCCTCCTTTTGCTACTAATGTTCTCTTCCCACGCCCCTACCAACTATGCCACCGAGTTTTTCCTTCTGCTTAAACTTGTTCACAATCCCTTCAACTTGTGAATAAGGTTGTGGATCCTTCCAAATGCTGCACTGCAACTAAACAGGCTGCTTCAATTGATATGCGTAGGTAACAAAAAGTACCAACTGAAAAATCATCAGCACAAGTGTGTCACTAAACCCTATCATCTGAAAACCAAAGCTACACTTGACAACTGATTGACACTTCAAAGTGACTTTTCTATCTTAGTTTATTGGCCTCAGTCCCCACTTATGCCTGTGATCCTATTGCCATTCAAGTGGCTGTTCACAATTAGATTCTTCCTCCCAATTACTTTTATTTTCCATGGAAAAATCTCAAAACACTTCATCGATCTGGCTATTTTGGGATGTCTTAGGTAGACACAGTCATAAGCAGATGGCACAGTTTTCAAGCAGCAGAGACAGGGGAATTAAAGCTCCGCTGGGAAACCTCAAGGAAAGGTTGCATAAATGTGAATAATTTAGAAAGTCAAGTTCCTGGAGAGTGACTTTAATCTGGTACAGTAAACATTTTCAATATTTAAAATAAAATTAAAATTATTTCCCCTTTGTACCTCAGTCACACAGGACCCTGGAAGGCAGGTCACTGGTTAGTACCAGTCACTGCATACCTCTTATGGCATGAGAGAAAGTGTAGTGCCTCCAGTGAGTAAAGTACAGCCTGGATGCAGATAGAGCCACTAGAAGCTGACTGGCTCCAATAACCAAAATGCATAAAATCAGCAAGGTCTGAATTATCTTATAATAAGGTAACTCAGCAATATTACTCAGTACTGATCTTAGAGTGACTTCTGTAGTTCGATATGTCAACACAATGAACCATAACGTGCTCTAGCATATGTTTAAGTATTAGTTTACCAGTTCCATTAGATGATTTATGGACAACATCACAGCTTCACGAGATGGTGGATCCATTAGCCTACTCAGAAAATAAGCAATTCCACCAAGCCTTAGAATCTGAAATAAAAGAGATGCAAGTGCTGACAGATATGATTCTGAGTGCACATTATGTGTTACCACTAATTCACTGTACATTTGCAGACCTCTGAGCTGCTACTCCCTAATTTGCAAAGTTACTAATACATCAGAACTTTTAAGTTTGAATTTCACTAGGTTAGTGAACTCAGATTTATCAAGTGTTCCTTTATTTTCCTACAATCACTTAAATTCTGAAAAAAATGAAAAGGTATTAGTGCAGTCACAAGTTTTGTTTAGGACTCCATTCCTCATCTGAGGTACACGTCCAGCACTTGTGTCAACAATTGTTACAAGTCATGAACGTCATCGTTTTTGTTTAAATTATCTCCATGACTTTATATTTGAGGATGTGTGAGTGACAGCAAATAGTTCAGCCAATTTCCCTGAAAATTGCCATGTCAAAACTACTAAAGAAACAAACTCAATAAAAGTAATAACACAAAACGGCAAGCATGTGAACTCAGTCAGCTTTAATCGTTTTTAGTAAACTATGTGACACCCATCTCTGAGGTGCCATGTCTTATGACCTGCTAATGAACAGGAAGAAAAAAATTCTCTGGCTTGTGGGAATATGAATTCATGGAAACAGCATAATTCAGATTTACTTTAATAGAGTTCGTCTTTTATTTAATATTAAATCAGGTATTTAGGAGACTATTACAAATTACTTAAAAGTATGGGCTGTCAAATAGTCTGTCAAACAGTTGTAATCTGTTATATCAAGTTATGCTTAGGAACAACCTCAGGCTCAGAGTAAGTTTTTGAGCACAGTACCTAATGCCAAACCCTTCACTCTCTTATCAGCATGCAAAGGTTCTAATATATTAGAACAACTAACCCATATCAGATAATTACCTTGATTTGTAAACAAAGTTCTTCCAAAGGTGTCCTTAGGATTTCCGGTAATTGATAATCATCCAGTAGGCTGGCACGTAGACCATTGTATAGATGATAACAGTGACCCGGCTGGACTCTAATATTCAAAATGTGTAAGAAATATTTTGTCTTTCAACAATACTTAGAACTACATTGACAGCTTCTCCCAAACACTCAAAAATTAATAGTATATTCCCCCAAAATCAAAAATTTCCAAAATTCATAGTATATCCCAAAACACTTCAAGGCATTAAAATAAAGGTATACAAGTTAAAAGGTGTATTCAAATGGGGTGAAAAAAGAAATGTCAGAGTTTTGAAATACAACGAAGAGCCAATAAGGCAGAAGGATACAGGAGGAATGTTTCAGACAGCAGAAGCACTAGAGAACAACAAACCAATGGTGGCAACATGTAATGAAGGAGCAGCACAGACAAGGTCTTATGAGCTAGACAACAAGGGGTCCATGTAGTGTTTGACTAGTAAAGCAGTTTTTAAGTTTACAGATAAATGTTTGCTTCAATATACTTCATTCTCCCAAGGTGTGAAGATGAAGAGGTAACATAAGACTACTAGCACCATGGAGTTTAAAAAATTCAGTACTACTACTCAAATATTCAAAAGCCAGTCAAGTTAAATAAGAACTCATACCCAGAACTATGCCAGAGTCATTCCACAGGAAAAGAATGAGACAGTCATACTGGCTTATGCTTTATAATGGAAAGTGAAAAACAGAATAGAAAGCACTTGAAAGTGTCTTAAGGTACACTACTGTAATTGATTGAAAGTTGAAAACTTTAATGTCTAATGTGATCACATTTGTTTCCATTTTAGAGTTTATTGCCACAGAAATTTTCTGATATCGATAGTCATTTCTCTTACCTTCCTGCTCGACCTTTCCTTTGTTTGGCATTAGCTTTACTAACCCACTCTGCTGCCATTGTGCTAATGTTGTTCTGTGTATCAAAGTGAGTTTCTTTTATTTTTCCTCCATCTATGACATACACCACATCATCAATGGTAATGCTGTCAAAAATAAGTGGTTTTCTTATCTTTACAGTATGCATAGAAAAGTTATTCTACAGAGTGCAGGATATACTTTATCTACTTGCTGTACTAATTGATTAATTATATTTACAAATTTCATTGGTGTCATTTTAAGAGCTCTGCAAATACAACAAATGAAACTTATTTGCTGCATGTCAAGAGAATAGAGGGACAATCCTGCACACATTTTAAAAACATTCATTTCACATTTCTCTGAAGTAAGGCTAAGCAGCTCCTGCTCTGCTGAAGCACAACAGCAAGTATAATGTAGTGATAATAATATTTGGTATCACTCACTAGTAGATGCCACATGAACACAGAATCATTCTAAAAGGGGCAATAAGTGGAAGATTTGTGTGTGTTTTTAAAAACGCATTTCATATACCAAAAACAGTAAGATTAATTCTCCAAAGCCATGCCATATGCTAAAAGAATTTCTAAAGCTTTGCCATGAACTGAAATCGACACTTACATGAGCCCCTGCAGATGATCTCCATGCTTCAGCAGGACTCATAGCTGAAGCTATCTGGCATAGTTTACATTACATGTTATAAGAAAGTATGGAAGATTTACAGAAGGGTGCTCTAGTTTTAAATAAATATAGAAAGTAATGGACAGAACTTAAGAAAACATAAGCATGGTAAAAAGGGGCTAATGTACATTAGCTTAATTTATATGAAAAGTCTGACCAATACTTAAAAAGCTTCAAGCATCTAAAGATGGCATTATGGAAGCTCATGTTTATTGTCTTAACTTCTATATTTTCTCAGTTTACAAGTGAAAATGTGGTTTAACTGTCAGCTCTGCAAACTCAACATGGGATCTTACAGTCAATTTGTATATTTTCTGAAGCATGAACTGTCAATATTCTACAGTGGAATGTAGTCAACAGTCATGTTGATGAGCAATGCAAAAAAGAGACAACCAGGCCCTGCAGTGGTAACAGGATTCAAATAAAGAGGTAAAAAGCTTGTCAGGAGTAGTAAGTAGCTCAGATTAATAATACTACAGATCTGTTCACTGAGTCACTTTATGACCATTCCACAGAGCAATCAGCTTCCAATAAAAAGGTTTGAAGATTTAATCAATCTAGTCTAGCATATTTATAAAGAAAAAATCCCTAATTCACTGTACCACCTATTTATGAATAACCAAATGCATGTTATCAGAAATATTTAACAGATTTACATTTTTGCTTTAATGTTATGATTTAGCATTTATTTCGCAAGAATTGTGTTATTTGATTAAAACGTGGCTACCTACGTAGAAACAAAAATATGTTTTACCTAGTCTCTGCAATGTTGGTAGCAATTACAATTTTCCGTACTCCAGGAGGGGTCTTTTTAAAAACCTGAAAAGATATATAATTAACAGAAGTAAAACAGACTATTTATCAAAACCAAACAAAGCACAAAGTCATTCTGAGTGTTTTGCAGGTCTGAACAGTTACACTTGCCCTCCTATCTGTTTTCCAGCAACTGCTTTCATGCAGCTAACGGACTTGGAAATTGTTTGTGAAAGTATCCCAGTCACAGAACTTCAATAATTCACATGTATTCCCTAAATATAGTTAAACATAAGTATATTATGGTGATGAATATCTTCTTTAATAAGAGTATTTTATACACATACACGTGTGCGCTAAACAATGCAATAATCAATACCATGTTCAAAGGTACCTGCAGCAGTGCTATCTGGATAGATAAGCACTATAAAAATACAAATGGACTATTTCCTACAAGCCAAAGAGAAATTTAACATTCACTTAGCTTTATTTCAAATTATGCCTAAGCTATATATGGGGGGGGGGGGGGGGAGGAACCTATAGCAAAACATTTTTATCCTCAAAATCTATGTGTTCATAAGATTTCACTTAAAACAAAAAGACATTTATTATAATTTACCAATGTTTACTATAGTTTAACACAATAAAAGTTAAGAATATTGTAAGTAATGAAACATACCTGTGTCTGATTAACAGTAGGCATCAGTGAATGCAGAGGTATAATAATGAATCTATCTGAAAGTTAAAACAGTAAACATAATGGTATGTCATGGAAAATTCAATGCTGTACTGCAAAACTAAATCATCTGGACACAAAGGATAAAAAAGGAGGAGCTGTAAATCTACTGTTTCTCATTCCTAGTCACCTTTCTTCAAACAGGTATAAATGTACTTTCCAGTACTTTGGTAATACATTATACCTAAGTTAACGCTTCTTTTGACCACACCATATCCAGCTAACCTGCATTACTCTAAATTTTCATTGGAGAAAGGGGATGAAAAACTTACTAAATACAGAATTATGTCCCAGTCTGAACAGGTCATATCTCTGTTAGGTTGTTCAGGATATGAGCATCTACAATTAAAGTTAAAAAAAACCTACACACATTCCTGTGCCAAACAAACATATTAAAATAATGTTTAGCTATAACTATGCTGAGGTTTTTGACAAGCATAGCTACATGGCAATCACCCAGTTTCTCCGGATAAAGAACTCATTTCTCTCTATAAACAGTCTTCCATTTTGGATCTAGCACAACAAGTCAGATTCATATACCATCAATTCAAGAAACAACACGTTGATTCAAATGACCACTCAGTTATTTTGAATGGACTCTGCGATTCTGAAATATGTTCCATTTCTAAAATTAGTGACATTTCACTAATAAGAAGGACAGTAATTCAAAACACTCCAAAACAGGAGGGTTAAGCCTGTTCTATATGCACTACATTAATGACAGCAGCCTTAAAAATTCTGCTCAAGTGTTAACCTTGAACAAAGGATCAAGGGCAAAAAGTGTGTTCTCACCCAATACGGTGAAACTTAAATAGAAACAAACATACAGAGCATTCTGTTGAGATACAGATGTAACCCTTTCATTTTAAAGTCTTTTTCTTAAGTTCTGCAAGCTTTTGCAATTGTGACAAAATTGTACTTTTGTGTTCGGCCATTTGATTTTGGGATTAAAAAAGTTATATGAAATAATGCAGTTTAATTTAACTGATACATTATGGAAAAATTACCAGTTTCCATGGAGTTTTTAAAGGTTAACACATTTCTAATGAGTTAATTTGTGATCAGTTGCATCTTCAATCCATATTCTATCAGATGCTTTGTTCAGGTTCCACACTAACATATAAGCAATACTACAGAGAACAAAGGTGGCTTCTGCTGGCAATGCAGTACTGGCTGGTTAATGACAGATGAAGTGCTTAGCAACAAGCTGACTGTCAGCATTGAAAATATGAGCCAATGGCCTTCCAGTTGGTCAACAGCAAAGTTATCAGCAAAAAGAAGAGAAAGGCGGCAGTCAGCCACAGGAAAATATTTTAAACCATTGTCCTTGGTTTAATTCTAAAAATCATAGCATCCATTTATTGTGGCCCTCTAAGCATATCTGTGCTGTAACATCTGTATCTTTAGGGTAATTTTAAGATTTTGAAAAAAAAGGAAACTGGTAAGATCTGTGGAACAGAACTTGCTGTACTGTATTTGGGACTAGTTAGCATAACTTGAGAGCTTCTAAATATGCAAAAACCAAAAAATCATTTAGTATCAGTTCTGCAGATACTTGATTGAAAGCATTTGCAATATACCAAGAGTGGTGTTTAAGAGATCACCTATCTTTACTGTTTTATCTATACCTAGTATCAAATGTGGCAACAATTTGTTGCTGTGGAAATTACCATCTTTGGAATTATCACTGGAGGTAGGAATATACTCCATGTTTGTGTTTTTATACAATGGTACTTTGTACACCTGTATTCTTGTGATGAAAACCAGTTTTAACTTACAAGTCCAGAAGTGAATGCTTTATATATAGGCTTGGCTAAATTCACTTTTAATTTTTTTTAAATAAATTCAATGGATAATATCAATGTTTGTTTTAAAGTATATTTTCAATTTTTAGAAATTAAAATTTTTCATAGATGCAGGAATTATTGGGGGGGTGTCAAACAATTATTTAATGAGAGTAGACAATGAGATTAAAAAAAGTTAAAGCTTTATAACTATTAAAAATCAAATTGTCAACATCACATCAAAATATACAAATTAAATATCCTTAAATCAAACTCTAATAAGTCCTCAAGCAGCATTTTTCTGACTTTTCCTGTGTGTAAATTTCATTGGTCATCGATGAAAATATTTTTGGTTGGTTTGTGGGTGTACTATGAAATCAATGTTTATAGATAAAAATCTAATCCTTCTAAGCCTATTAATATACCTGTCCACTTCAATACTTAGGCTATGTCTACACTGCAATTAGAAAACCATGGCTGGCCCATGCTGGCTGACTTGGACTAAGGGGCTGTTTAATTGCAGTATAGACGTTCCGGCTTGGGCTGGAGTCTAGGCTCTGGAACACTCATCTCACAGGGTCTTAGAGCTTGGACCCTGTGAGATGGGAAGGTCCCACAGCCCAGGCTCCAGTCTGAACATCTGTACCACAATTAAACAGCCCCTTAGTTCAAATCAGCTGACAAGCCAGCCACGGGTTTTTAAGTGCAATATAAACATACTGTTAGTTCCCTTCAACAATTGCTATTTGAAGAAGCAACACTTCCCCAAACCACTGGTATCTAAAGCACAGGGCAAACAGTTCAGTGGCAGGAGGGAATAAAAGCATCACTGGGGACAGAATTATAACAAAGCTTTGTAGAAGAAATAAGTTTTAAAGGAGTTGTCAACAGCAAAGAGGAAGGAAAAAAGGAAAGTTCATATTTGGATAGAGATGGACCATCCAGGAGAGTTCTGTATATGAGAATGGACAGAAGGAGGGAGATGTGGCTTTGAGAGTCATCAACGTGGAGATGGAAACTCAACCATGGGAATAAATGTCATCGGCAAGATCTTTGGATGAAAGACAATACATAAAGCGCAAAGATATCGTATATATAATGAGCACAGAGAGGAGGGAGCTAGGAAAAGAATAGAGGGATGCCAACAAAGATGGAGAAGCGGATGAACCAGAAAAGTTGCTGAAGAAATGGTCACTAAGAAAGAACAAAATGCTATTCTTATAATTATTTTTTACCTGACTTAAACATGACTTGTGACATCAAGAGGTCATGTAAAGTGCTAATATTGTCCCAGCCTGGGAGAAACACCAGTATTGCACCATCCTATACATGAATGGAAAAAGAGATTAAATTACATACTAAATACTCAAACATTTGTACATTTGTGTAAATATCTTGGATAGATGACATTTAACTTGAGGCACTACTGAATCAAATATTCCACAAAATTTTATGAGCTTTTTTTTTTTTAAAACAGGAATGACTGCATACATTTTATCTGGATTTTAAAAAAATTCCAATAGAAATTTGATTTTAAAAGGTTCTAAAGTGTTTGCAATCCACAATATTGTAGCTCTGCACTAGTTTGAGAAACTGACAGTGCAACTAAATAAGAGAACTATGAACAAGTCTATTTTAATTTTCCAAACAAAAGAATGCAAAGTAAGCAGCACAAACAGCAAAAAGTTATTTTTCTCAGGTTTTAATTATCTAACAAGTTATTTGTAACATAGGAAATCTGATATTTATAAATATGGTTTTTTTGATACCCGACTATCCCTTTAAAATAAGGTAACAGTCAACAGATGCGTTGCTTGTCCAAAGGCGGCAGAATTATTCCATGGTCCACTTATTTCTTCCTATAATTAACTCATATTGCAGTGCTTGATATCCGTTATACTGTCTCAAGTGTAGAACCTTTTTGACAATGTATATAAGTAACTGAAATATCTTTTTCTCAGAATTTCATTAGGGATTTTAATCACTAATGTATTCCTGCATATTCCGTGACATACTTTCTCAAATAAAAACCAGCAGAATGAAACTTGAATTCTAAATAAGCTTAACTTAAAGAGAAAACAATTACCACACTGGATCAGACCCAATGGCAATCTAGTCTGGTATCCTGCTTCTAGCACCAGCAAAAGCACGATGCTGCAGAAGTAAGCAATAGTAAGAATTCAAGTCCATTAATTTTTAAGCAAACAAAACATAACTGATTGGGTTAGATGTGTAATTAGGCACATACAGAGGTGTAATGGGGTAATGTAATTCCAGGGCTAACTAAAAAAAAAAAAAATACAAAAGCTGTATTAACTATTAATACTAAGTTTATAGTTTACAAGTTAACAGCCTTAAAACAAGCCAGGACAAGAGCCTCCTAGTTGTTTGTTTAGTAAACATCTGAACTAATATGACATCATTAAATTATAATAATTCACAGGCTTCACTGCATTTACTCAGCTGAAATCATTTAAACTATTTGCCCAGTACATGATACCTTAAAGGAATAAATTACAACTCAAAACAGTACAGTTAATTTTTCTACCCATTTGTCAACAAAGAGCAAGAAGGTGGAAGGCTGGTGATTTACTTTTATGTTCATGAAGTTTCCAGGCAGTGTTTTTAATGTGATTTTGCACAATTAAATTCTTCACTACATTCTTTGATTACTACACTACTGATATCGCTTTTGACGTACACATTGAGTACAACAATGAATTTAAAGATATCAACTAGCAATAAATGCATTTAAATTTTATGCTACCTTCCATCAAAGGACTGCAAAACACTTCACAAATAATTTATTAAGCCTTAATATCCAATTAAACTATTACTCCCACTTAACAGATGGGAAAAAACAAGGTGTGTCAATGTCAGAACTAGTAGGAGATTCTCAGACATCTAGCTCTGTGCTTTATTCACTAAACAATGCTCCCTGTCTAGGTAATAAGGGCTATGTAATATGGTTCAGTATCACTAAGAGAAGCATGAATTTTTTAGGGTGAGATTCTCAAAGCTGCTACGAAGATTTAGATGCAAACTCTTGTCAAAGGCCCCTATTCAGGAAGGCACTTATGCACTTCCTTACTTTAAGCACATGCTTAAATCTTGTTGACTTCAACAAGGCATGTGCTTAAGTGCATTCCTGAATCAGGGCCTTAAATGAAAATTATGCACTAAAGCCTACAGGTGATTTTGAAAATCTCAGTCTCAATGTAGTGATGTAACCCAAAATAATTTCCATCTATGTTTTGACATTTTTAGTGACTGCTGATCACAGTGCAGAATTTCCTGAAGTGTGGTGTCATGTTCTAACGTTGTATCCTTTTCCCATGGCTGTTAAAATAGATCACACCTAATATTTTTATTGTAACACTACTGAAACCAGAGAAGAATCTTAACTTAAAATATTTTATTTGGAGTGAGTGATTTTGTAAAAAATATAAATCCAATGGGAACATGCACAAGCCCATATAAGGCTTTTGTTCCTTTAGATATGTAGCTCCTAGTGGGAGGAAAAACAGTTTGCTAAGCAGTATGACTTGAGAACATTTATAGGATTGATTGTTAGTAGCAGATTTTTGGTTTCAGCATAATAATTCAAATCTATAATTAAAATCGAGCTTTCTGAAAACTGTTAGACACCATGAGTCAAGTGATTTTAGCTAGAAAGAAAATTAACTTATTAAAATAAGTTACGCAAATCATAGAGAAACTCACCTCTTCCTCTAGGACAATGTGTCTGATAAGTGCAGCTATAAGGTCAAGATCAATCTTGTCATCATCCATCATTTCCAATGCATCTATAGTACTTGCTGAATACCTATAGTGTGTACATAATGACAGGTTTTAAGAAAAAAAAAAAACATTCACTCATTTCAAGTGTTTCTATTACAAGGCAATTGCAATTTGACAGCAAAGAAAATGCAGTATTCTTGTATGATATAGTTCTCTTTTGTTTATACCCTAGACTTGCATAGATCTATACCACATTTGCCCTCGATTTAGAGTCTGGAATAATGTGAGAGCTTTAAGACAATGATACTTTGCTCTAAATAATTTGAGACAGTTAGGTCACACTATGACAGACATAAAATTAGTACAAAGTGAGACTGCATAATATTTAGCCCATGTACTTAACATATACAAAATGTTTTGAGTTCCATTGATAAGTAAAGTGAAGTGTCAAGTTTCTGAATATAACATGTCCAAATTAAGCTAAATTAATTATTTGGTTTAACAAAGTTGCTGCAGCCAAATATTTCATGCTTCACCATTCAAACTAATTAAGTGCCTCAGGGACTTAACTCTTCAAGCCAGCAGTTATCCAATCAGTGAAGACCTTGGAATGCATTATAAATGAGTCATTAAAAATCACTGAAGTTCCAGCAAAAAGGGGAAGGAAGAGAAGTCTGAGAGGAGAAAGTGGTGAACTTTGAAAAAGACAGGGATGACAAGTGAAGCAACATGTCCCTGTGGTGGGGAACATGTTGCACAACTTTTTTTTTTAAATCATTTATCCATTGCTTGAATGTTGTAGTGTAAAGCTCTGAAAAGTGGGGCAAAAAAGGTGTTTACTGGGTTCCTGAAAAGGAGATCTTCCTTCCTTATCCCTGTCATGACCCTATTGAAGGAAAAACAGGTGAGACATGATGGGGTTAAGATAACTTTTGCTCCCCAGTCACCCTATTTCCATTCCCCCTCCTGCAGGAAACTACTCCTCAAAAGCCTGTGGGCAAGGAAGGCTTAACTGCCTGGGATATTAATGCTGCTACAATTTGTTTTTCTTACCGTAACTGACCAATGCATTTTGCTCAAACAAAATCTCCCATAGAGAAACATGCTTTCGAAAAGAGGTCCACTTGCAAAACTTGTAAATTGACATTTAGGCTTCCAACTGGTCATTTATGGGTAGAATCTTTGTAATTGTGTGTTCAAGTGTAGGCAAACAATTGAGCCACACATATATAATCCAGTTTTGGAGTATGGCCTCAGAATGGACAAAATGGTTAGTATGGTAGGGAAGTGAGCAGGATGTAATTCGTGCAGTCCTGGGAGAAGGATTGGCTGGGTTGTCCATTCACAAAAAATGGATTTCTAGGATGGATTATATCATGCCTCTTGAAATAACCAGTGTAATGTCCATGAGAGCAAAGCAGTGTAAGCAACCAAAGGGAAAGGACTGAAAAAAATCAAAGAATATCAGTTAAAATGGTAAGTATAACAAAGGTTTGGTTTATGTTATTTTTAATCCGTTTGTTTAGAGGGTTATGAAGGAATAGTCTGAAGAAAAGGATGTCAAAAATATTTTTAAAACATTGTGGAGTGTTTACTGTTCTGGTTTGTTGATGAGGCCAGACTACTAGCAATATCTACTACAAAGGGAAAGATAGAGCAAGTAGGGAAGCCATCAGGGACATAGTTAGGGATCAGAGTATAAGCAGCCTGACAGTTTGATGAATAGAAAGAATTGTGGACTATACATGTGCATGCCAATAGTAAATGGCGGATTGCGACTTCTTCCCCTACATCAGACTTGGAGTCTGCAACTTTTAATTTAACCAAGCGTGTGTGATATTATGTAGTATGTTGACTCATGTAGAACACACTTACACTGAGCATTGAACTGCACTACTCACAATGTTATAGCCATCTTTATGTAACTGGCAATCATGTTATAAAAACTAATTAATTGCATGTTTCTCAGCTGTAGAAGTACATAGATAATTGGTAATACCGGACAGCATAGAAATGAACAAATAAGACCTACCTTCCTCGCAGCTGCCTTAGATAATCTGGCCATCGTTCTCTATAGATTTCTTCTTTCTCTTCCTTTTCTGGTCTGCTTATGTGTCCTTGCATAAAGCCCTTCTTCAACCGTGGTCTGCAATCTGTATCTTTTGGAGTATATCTAAAGTACATATTTATTATGGTAATTTAATATTTTATTTTAATTTAAAAATTAAAAAAACACTTCTTAAAGGCTAACAAATACATTGGTGATTCAGCCCACTGATAATATCGTGCAAGATTTTAGTTGTACCTTGTAATATTATGCTTTAAAGAAAAACAGCTGAAGAAGCCTTATCTACAAAGTGGGCTCCATTTCTACAAAGCATAAAAATAGGCAGAAAAAGAATTATTGAAGTTTCTCTAGCTACCTGAAAATGCAAAGATGATCAAGCATTTTAACATGAATAACTGACCTAGTTTGGGAGGGGGAAAAAAATAAAAAACCAAAAGGACTTCAAGTTGAGATTTTTTTTTTTTAATTTGATTTTGACTACTGACAGCATCTTGCTAAAAATATGATGCCATTTGTGAAAACACAGAAAAAACTACTGAATTTTCCATGGTCAAAAATGCTTTTTTAAAAACAAGATGTTTGCCATCAGTTCAGAAATGTCAGTTGTCATTTGAAACAAGACTGAAATACACATCAATTTATTCATGGTGCGATGCGACTTGCAACTGTGGAAAATCCAAACTGCTAGGCTGAGTAAAAGTGAACATCATTCTACGTATTTGCCTAGTAGTATCCAACAGTTATGTGGATCTTTACTTTCAGAAATAGACTGACCTTAACTTTTCAATTGTGTCTTCCAAAAGATATTCCACAACAGGGAAGGTGAATCCAGGTATATGGATCATGGGACAATTGTCTATTGAGGAAGAGTGCAACTTCTTAATTCTTAGAAAACTAATAAAATATACTTAATACTGTAACAATATTCTATATCAAAAATAGTTAGAAAAAATGTCAAACAGTTCCTTTCTACTTAACTGCGTATCTATTAAGTTTGATTTTCATGTACACTTAATGATTGTGAAAAGTATCAAGTTAACACCCCCAGAAAGTCACTAAATAGACCACCACAGGCAATAGCAGTGCATACTTCTCTACGTTCTAACCAATGTGACTGAAACCCAAGGCAGATGAACCACTTGTAGACTGGCTGGAATACCACAGGAAGATTTGCACTGCCTATCACTCACTCATGCCCTCTATGGGTGCTAAATGAGAGTTTTAAAAATTAAAGATAATGCCAACCTCCGTTTGGCAACTTATAGTGTTCAGAACTGTAGAGTTAATGCAAGGCATCTCATGGAGGAAAACAAAAGCAGCAATACAGAACCATGATGGGATAAATCAAGGAATCTCTAAGATTGCACCCTACTTTGAGGCCTCTTAACATTGATATAATCATTGTTTTTGATTTAAGTCAAACCCACACTTTTCTTTTTTTAAAACCGCATTATTAAAAAGTACAAGTCCAAAATATATAGCAAATATTAAGTATGTTACATATCTTATCAATATTACAATTCAAGCATATCACCCACCAAAATATTCTGAAAATTTCTCAGCATTCAAAGTAGCACTCATCAGTATTACTTTCAGGTCTGGTCGAACATTTAGAAGATCTTTAATAACAGTCATTAAGACATCTGATTGAAGATTTCTTTCATGGATTTCATCAAGAATAACATGACTAACACTGGACAACTGCCTAAAATAAAAGAACGCAAAGTTGATAACATTTATGTTTAGCAGAAGCAAGGCATTTAAAAAAAAAAAAAAGAGAGAGAGACACAAGTGCTAAAGAATGGAAACAAAACACAGAAGCATTAAAAAGCCAGCTCACTAAAACACTGATAGTTGTATTCACTAGTTTCTTTTTAAATATAAATACTTACTTGTCTGATTGGAGCCACTGAAGGACGATTCCTGTTGTACAATACAAAATGGAACCTTGTTTCCTTGGTAACCGACTGAAAAGAGATGCATTAAGAATTCTTGAATTCTCTTTTCTAATATTTTACAAAGTACTGTGAAAGCTCCAAAGCAGAATGCACTTTAAAGTGTCTATAATGACAGTCTACATCATTCAACTTATTCTCTAGGCCTGCTCATTTAGAACTAAATTAGTGCAAAACGGGATTAAGTCAGGGCTAGACCACAGTATGCCTATGATGAGGAATGGATCATTTGCAATCTAACAGTACCAGGCTTTACAGCCATTATTTGTCAGGATTAGCTTTTCCCTACTCATCCCAAATTGTTGTTAGACTAAAGACAAGGCAAAATATTGTTCTCTGTTAAACAGCGTTTATACATGAGAATATAATTTAGCTCCATGAATAATTGTACATCCTGAATAAAAACCATCTGTGCACAAAAACAACACTGGAAGATCAAATTACAGCATATTCTCTATTTTTAGCTTTTCAGCTTAGTTTTTCATTTAAGGATTATTCCAGATACATCAGCACCTACACTAGGGCCCTAAGCCTGCAAACACTGACGCAACATGCTTAACCTTACATGATTTGAATCAGACTATACATGGTAGTCAAATTAAACATATGCATAAATGTTCCCAGGATCAGGGCCTAAAACAGTTGACATTTTTAACTTTAACACTCCCTTCTATATGTCTGTTGTAATAAGGCTGTTTCCAGATTGCACAAGCTGTGATTTTCAACTTGACCAGTCAAATGGTTTCCAGTGTAACCAGAATTAGTACACAAGATATTTTTAAGTCTTTGAACCATAACATTGTTTTGTTCCTTCTCTGCCTCAACCAGATCTCTTATCTCACTCACCTTTTAACAGTTTAAGATGTGCATATTGATAGCCTGTTTACACTGTGCTATTTGTAATCCTTCCACCATGTGGCGTTCATTTTGTTTATCTATAAAGGATTAAAATCCCCTTTAAATTAACAGAATTACAGATTTAAACTTGCTCCCCCGTCACAGGAAAGTAGACTATACTACAAAAATTGACTTCTCACCAATTTAAGTGGCATCAAAGTTCAACCATTGTAGTCAAGCTTTCAAGTAAGTACTTATTTTTCCTCCCAACCATTTACAGGAAAATTGCTCAGGAATCCCCTCTGGGTGAAAGCAGTTAAGTATGTTCTGTCTATGCTTAAAATAGTATTTCAAATTTTCCTGTTTGATTTATACTGGATTTGTCAGTTTACATTCAAGTCAGCATACAAACACCAAGAAAACTATCATTTACCTCTGGAGACGAATTTGGTATCCTGTACTCTTGCCATTACCACACACTTCTGCCCTTTCAGCTGCAACTCTCTCTGCCACCTTAAAATCAAACCAAATAGCATCATGTTAAAAAAAAATAAAAATAAATAAGGCTTATCTGAACTTACAGGTATTCTTCAGTAGGAACTGTCTACCATAAAGAAGTTACATGTCAGTTTATAATAATGCTAAAACTACCTTTAATACCCTCCTCTGATGGATACAGCACTCCTTCGCCACAATCCAGGAACTGGTGTATAACCCAAAATATATTTCAAAAGACAGTAGAGCTGTTTTATAAAGGATGGAACTAAAGGTATTTCAATCCTCCCCCTTATAACTTAATAGCATGACATGCAACTCTTTACAGTAGTGGAACTCCTCTTTACAACCCAGCACCTCATATTTGTACTTAATGGAAACTATGCATTTTGTACATTCTAGTAGTCAAACTTCACGAGATAAACCAAGCTGAGAAACGCTCACCTCTAATTTTCTTTATCAATAGTTTGAGATCGAATTGTTTAGCAACGGTTAGCTGTACTATTCTGTGACCATCACACAGGATTGAGAAATGAGGCTGTAAGCATAGAAGACACTAATTTTTGAAGCTGTGCTGCTTCGTCCAGGAAAGTAATAGGAAAACACTTTCTGGGCAGCTCAAGAACAGCAAGACATAAGGTATCCAAAAAGCAAGAGTCTAAGTACAGACCCTTTCACATTTTCCTTTACCCTTAACTATGCCCATATTAGGTAAGAGTGCTGAGCAGGATACCCAATTAATAAGATCCACAAAGGTCTATAGGTAAGTTCTGGGTGAACTTCCACTACCCTTGCAGGTTGCACAGACCTGCCGAAGAGTTCAGCTTCAATGCTGCTTCCTTCAGAAGAGCAACACTGAACTCCAATCCTGCACATACATACTTGATAGATGCTTCAACATGACTCAAATACATTAATTATGGGTGCAACTATTAGCAGAATTGGGAATTTAAAATTGTAAACTCTTTGAGGGAATGACACATCCTATATGCTTGTACAGTGCATTGCAAAATGAGGCCTGGTTCTGATTAGGAACTTTGGGCAGTACTGCAATACAAGTAGTAAATAATTTGTCCACAATTTCTCTATTGCAAAAGGAAATTAATATTCAAAGAAACAATTAATTCTTCAGCACTGCACTTACTGAGATAGCACTGATCCTCCTAGGTTGGGTACATACAATCCTGCAAGCAGATCCTTTCCCTCTCTCTATACAGTCATCCAGAATGAACTGAGTAACTTGTGTCGTCTTTCCACAACCAGTCTCACCACTTATCACAGTCACCTGATTATTATTGATCATAGTTATCAGTTCCTATTTTAAAAGGAAAATATAATGTTATGTTGACAAATAGTCTTTTTAAACTGTATAATTCCCTATTCTTTTGAATTCAATTTAAAAGAACAAGCCACAGTACTTTAAAGGGACACATTTAGACACACATTTTATTAACAGTTTAGGGCCAGAGGTTCAAAGTGTGCCATGCACTTTAAATATATGACTAAGGCCATGCACAAATTACTTGTGTATACAGAATGAATACTATCATTTATGAAAATAGGGTTGCACAATGAACAGTCCAGAACTTTGGTTTATGAACAAACAGGGTTTGAGACCCCTTTGAAAATATAGCTAGCCCTAGATAATTGAAAATGAAAGCTTAACTTTTCACTTTTCCTGTTTGTTTGGCTTTTGTATTTCGTTCAGCTCAGTCACTGAAAAGAGACTGGTCTGTTTCTCGATAGTATTCAGCAGCACTTTCCATCTCACATATTTCAGCACAATGTTTCAGTGTTTGTGCTGCAATCACAGCAAGGGAATGTTTAAAACCCCACAAAAAGGTTACTGGAATCGGAAGAGCAATGGAACTATTTGTTTCTTAGATTTTGTCCTTTTTTGAAAGAGACAACTAAAATCAGGGACCAAAATGGACCTGAAAGTGTCCATTTACAGTACAAGTTATACTGTCCATTAAAGGTCTAACAAACCTACAAAAGAAAGCACATGGAGTACTTTCACCTTGATATGTAACATACAAGTTATTTAACCTAAGATGAAAATAACACTTTGGCTAAAATGGTCCATAATTCACTCATTGCACGTAGGTAGCATAAAACAGCATGCAGCCACAATTGTGTGATCTAGAGACTAAAATGGAATAAAGACAAATTTTAATCAATGTTCAATCATAAGTCTCACATACATACCATGACCAGCAATAAAAATAGCCACACCTGGCAATTTTAGATATAATACAGTAAATAAAATGTTTATTAAAATTACAAGTAAGCACGGCAATTAGTCACCTTAGTTTCAAACAGCATGTAACATTTTAAAAGTTAAATCTGCAAAGTGAAGGATGAAAAAGCTATATAGTATTTTAAATATACTTGGTGCTCATTCCTGGTTTCCATGGAGACTGCTGCCTAGCTGTAAAACTGTATGGTTCAACATAAGTAGAGTGATCTTCCCTACATTGCACGTCAATGTGCTCAAAATCTTTTCTGGAAAGAAATTAGCTGTAATTATGAAGCCTCACATGTTCTGATGTCTTTAGAAGGTGGTAAGATTCTTTACATTTCCTCTAAAAAATATTTCAAACCAGAGGCCTTCTGTTATAAATCTGGGTCCAGTAATCATATTTTTCGTCTGAATTACAAACCCTTATTTTTCTATATTTATAACAAAATAGCAGAGGTGCACTGGATTTCAAAGTAAAAATAAACACATTTACCCTTCTTATCCCATATGAAGGAAGTTTCTCTCGGAATCTCTGGGGGAAAAAACAAAGTTATATTCATTTTTAAAATACACTTATGCTTTGGAGGTAAAAAATACAATCAGTTTTGTTTATGATCAACAAACGTTTAATCTGAAAAAAGATAACTTACTTGTATAACAAGTTGTACATGCTTAGTCCTAGGTCCTGCAAACACTTATGTGTATGCTTAACTCTAAGTTTGTATGTAGTCCCATTGAAGTCAGCGAGACTATTCACATACTTAGGTATGTGTGTAAGCATTTGCAAGATTGTGGCCTTAGAGCAGGAGTGGGCAAACTACGGCCTGCGAGCTGTTTTAAGCTGGCCCACGAGCTCCTGCTGAGGAAAGGGTCTGGGTTTTGCCCCGCTCCAGCCAGGGCGCTGGGTCCGGGGCTGCACCACGCAGCTCAGCCCCACTCCGGCGCTCCAGCACGTGGCTCAGGCCCACTCCAGCGCTCCGGCCGGGGCGCTGGGTCAGGGTCTGCACCAAGCGGCTCCTGCCACAGCATGGCCCTGCTCCAGCTTCTACGTGCTCCAATGGCCCCCTCCAGCTCTCCAATGGGAGCTTCAGGGGCAGCGCCTGCAGACTGGGCAGTGTGCAGAGCCACCTGGCCATGCCTCTGAGTAGGAGCCGGAGAAGGAACATGCCACTGCTTCTGGGAGCCGCTTGCGATAAGCGCTGCTCGGAATCTGCACCCCCGAACCTCTCCTCATGCCCAAACCCCCTGCCCTGATTCCCCTCCCGCTCTCCAAACCTCTCATCCCCAGCCCCACCCCAGAGCCCAGACCCCTAACCAGAGCCTTCACCCCTCCCGCACCCCAACCCCAGTTTTGTGAGCATTCATGGCCTACCTTACAATTTCTGTTTCAGTAAGGTGTTTGATACTGTGCCATATGGGGAATTATTAGTTAAATTGGAAAAGATGGGGACCAATATGAACACTGAAAGGTGGATAAGGAATTGGTTAAAGGGGAGACTACAACGGGTCCTACTGAAAGGTGAACTGTCAGGCTGGAGGGAGGTTACCAGTGGAGTTCCTCAAGGATCAGTTTTGGGACCAATCTTATTTAATCTTTTTATTACTGACCTCGGCACAAAAAGTGGGAGTGTGTTAATAAAGTTTGCAGATGATACAAAGCTGGGAGGTACTGCCAATTTAGAGAAGGACCAGGATATCATACAGGAGGATCTGGATGACCTTGTAAACTGGAGTAATAGTAATAGGATGAAATTTAATAGTGAGAAGTGTAAGGTCGTGCATTTAGGGATTAATAACAAGAATTTTAGTTATAAGCTGGGGACGCATCAATTAGAAGTAACAGACGAGGAGAAGGACCTTGGAGTATTGGTTGATCATAGGATGACTATGAGCCGCCAATGTAATATGGCTGTGAAAAAAGCTAATGCGGTCTTGGGATGCATCAGGAGAGGTATTTCCAGTAGGGATAAGGAGGTTTTAGTACCGTTATACAAGGCACTGGTGAGACCTCACCTGGAATACTGTGTGCAGTTTTGGTCTCCCATGTTTAAGAAGGATGAATTCAAACTGGAACAGGTACACAGAAGGGCTACTAGGATGATCCGAGGAATGGAAAACCTGTCTTATGAAAGGAGACTCAAGGAGCTTGGCTTATTTAGCCTAACTAAAAGAAGGCTGAGGGGAGATATGATTGCTCTCTATAAACATATCAGAGCGACAAATTCCAGAGAGGGAGAGGAATTATTTAAGCTCAGTACCAGTGTGGACACAAGAACAAATGGATATAAACTGGTCACCAGGAAGTTTAGACTTGAAATTAGACAAAGGTTTCTAACCATCAGAGGAGTGAAGTTTTGGAATAGCCTTCCAAGGGAAGCAGTGGGGGCAAAAGATCTATCTGGCTTTAAGATTAAACTTGATAAGTTTATGGAGGAGATGGTATGATAGGATAACATGATTTTGGTAATTAACTGATCTTTAAATATTCATGGTAAATAGGCCTAATGGCCTGTGATGGGATGGGATCTGAGTTACCCAGGGAAGAATTTTCTGTAGTATCTGGCTGGTGAACCTTGCCCATATGCTCAGGGTTTAGCTGATCGCCATATTTGGGGTCGGGAAGGAATTTTCCTCCAGGGCAGATTGGAAGAGGCCCTGGAGGTTTTTTGCCTTCCTCTGTAGCACTTGCTGGAGGATTCTCTGTATTTGAAGTCTTTAAACCACGATTTGAGGACTTCAATAGCTCAGACATAGGTGAGTTTTTCAGGAGTGGGTGGGTGAGATTCTGTGGCCTGTGTTGTGCAGAAGGTCAGACTAGATGATCATAATGGTCCCTTCTGACCTTAGTATCTATGAATCTATATTCCCCGATGTGGCCCTCAGGCCAAAAAGTTTGCCCACCTGCCTGAGAGTCATATTATGACCTTCTGGATTCGGCCAGAAAGGAATAATTGAAATTAGCTGATATGAGTCCATCCTCCTACATAAGATCTTGAAGGCAGATCAGCATCACCTTATGATAAACTGTGTCAAAAGCAACTGGTATGTCCACATCAACATTGTTGGTTCTTTCACCACCACCAGAGCAACCAGAATGATTTCTAGGCCAAAAACTGGTCTAAAGGTGGATTACTGGTATTATGGATGAATTATCTAATTCATTCACTTAAAAATAAATCATATCATGCTGTCCACTGCCTTGCATTCAGATTTTAGCATTTGAGGATGAAATTCATATGAAAAATATTATACAAAATAAATTTTTATGTTCAGAAGTAGTCACAGGAGTGTTAATATTTTCCAAATGTTATACTATTGGTAATTTCCATGTACAAGTGTTTATTGAAGTGGTGGACAGCTGATAAATTGCATAAAGGAACATTATGACAGTATCAAAAAAAGTATTTTCACGTAAGTGACACTAAACAGATTTTCATGATGACACTTTTCCATTAACAAGGGTATAAAAGGTAACTAGTTTTTGCTTATAAAAATAAAAAACTATTATAAATAAAAACATTAGCATAAGTTGTGGCTTCTAGTTAACCGTTATCTAGTACCTGCATTTCAATGTATCTAGGATCAAATTTCTTCTTTCTTAACTCTTCTCTAAATTTCTCATTCAAATCAATATCTGGCTCATTTTCTTGAAAGAGATATTCTGAATCTCGATCTACGAATGTTTTCTCCAAAATTGGTCTCTGCTTTACAGAAGTCTTCGCCAAGGTTGGTTTCTCTACAGGTACCTCTGGACTATATCAGAAACAAAGATTTGATTATAATGCAATTTCCACATATCAACTCAGGCATAGCTTGAAAAAGCCCTCTCAGCAGAGGTAAGTACAAAAGTTTCCCTGGTGAGCATGGGGACGTTATAAATGTCTGCAAAATTTAAGATACGTACAAATTTAAATTGTCCTAGAATATAATTTGGTAAAGTTGTTTTTACATATACCAATAGACATACAGTATTACCATAATTAAAATTATATATTTTTTCAAACAGTTTAACAAACTATTCCACTGCAGTGTTTGAAACCCAATCACTGCCATACAAGCCATCTGCAAGTGAAACTGACTAAACACAAATAAAGGCTTTGAGTTTCCTTATTCAAGCTGAGAGAAATGCAAAAGAGGTATAAGAGTATAGTGACAAGTAAATAGGATTTTTAAAGCTCTCAATTTTACTAATCTTTGGTATTAAAAATACTGCCAATTTGAGATATAGTCAATTTTTTGAAGTTAGTTAAAATTTATTTCAGGTACTATGCTTGCCAGCACTCTGACAATTTTTGTGGCTCTACAATTCACTTTTTCCTCCTTTAAAATTTTTTTTATCCCCATTACAATGCAAAAGATCCATACGAGCTGTGGAAAACTAGATACAAATTGCTGTCAAATGCATAAAATTTATCACAGTAGCAAGTAAAAAAATTCAGATAGAAGAGTGACTGCTAAGTAGATGGTGTCTGTTTTATTACAATACAAGTAATAGACTTTTTGTTTACAACATAGGATTGTTACCTTGTGTCCCTTTAAGTCTGTATCTAAAATAGGTTTCTCCTACTTATGTAGCAGAGAATACCGACTGTAAACCAATGTAATGGTGTCTGAGTCTGCAGACAGAACTACTGCCTTAACTATTCTCATTGCCCCCTCTCATAATTGGATATGACTGGAAGAACAGGACCATAACTTTTTTCTTGTGGCAGAGTGAAATTAACAAGATTCTGGTGGTTTGTTTCATTACTGCTATTGAGAATCCTGTCTGTAGAAATGAAATTGTCAAGAAGTGTGCCTATTTCACTTCAGCTTGGAAAACATTAACTGAGGCTGAACCTATTCAGGAGGAGAACTCAAAAAATGGAGGCCTGGGAAGAACAGAGTAAGATAGTACTCTGGCATTTGGGGTGCAGAGACAATTTCAGAACCACACCCATTCCCCAACAATCTTTGGGGTGGGAAAGAGAGCACTCTTCCCTTCCAACAGCAAGGGGAGCCTCAACATTTATCACATACTTACTAGCCACAGTCTGATACTCAAGATTAACTTTGATGTTTTAAGAGTATGCCAGGCCAAAGGTATTTAGACACCTAACTCTCATTGATTTCAAAGGTAGTTTTGGCACCAAAACACACTTAAAAATCTGGCTTTAGGGACTTAATACACTCTTAAAATATCCAAGCTGCAGTGTAAAGAGAGTCAGGAATTCTTATTACATCTAAACTGAGTAGGAATAAATACTACAGTGGCAAAGAAGAGTCTTCTCTACACTACAGCTTCTACAGTTGTTGCCACTAATGGTGAATTACAGCTATAAAGTTTGCTAGCATAAGACCAGAGAGAAACTGTATCAAAAAATGGAGTTCACAAGCATCCTTGGAAGTCCAGCATCCTGCCCCCTCCCTCCCAGCAGCTGGGTATGAAAAAGAGGTAAAAATCTGTGGAACTCGCTGGGTGAAGATACCCCCTCTTCCTCCACCTTCTACCCCCAATATTTCCTATTAGTATGGCCCTTTGATATTTTTTGCCCAAATTTTCCCACATTTTACAAGAACTATTATTCATTTTTTACTGATTTTCACCCAAATTCACAAGTACATGAAAATACCAGTTACTTTAAGAAAATCCAATCCATTACATTAGGTAGATGTGTTTATGTTATATTAAAATTAGTCCACGTGTAAATGCAAGACTAAGTAAGGCCATGTTGCGGAAGATACACACAGGTGTGCATATGTGTACATCCTGTTGATATTCAGTTCATTAAATAAACCACAGCATTACACTGCTTTTACTTTCAATATTCTTATCTTTTCCACTATTTGTTGCTTCTTCCTGTCCCCCCAAACACTAAACCAGATATTTATCCAGAAAACCGAAGTTAATTTTTTGCACCAATTTTCAACCATTTAATTTTTGTAACAAACACTTATAAATGCCCAGGTAAACAAAATAAAAACGAAAAATTAAGGTTCTCGCCTATTGGCTTATTTATGGTTAGTACATTTAGTCTTCTGTTGTGGGTAAAAATTTCAAACCCAGAACTCAAGCATAACCTAGAAAATTGTTTGAAAACAATTTTAATTCAAACTAATTATTTCCTTCATGTGTTACTACTTAAAAAAAAAATCAGCATTTATAAAATTTTATTTATTTAATCTAACCCACATGATGACACCACCTTTAACTTTAGCAGTTACTACCGAAATCTTTTGCCACCATTTTCTAAAAAAGAAACCCATAGCATAAGCGATTGATTTTTTACCCTTCTTCCTCACCGGACCACCATGACACAGATTCTTGTTCTTTTTCATTTCTAGTCTGGACAGTATTCAGCAACTGAACAATCTGTTCTTCCCTGCGTTCATCCATACGCACCACAGCTCTCTAATTTGAGGAAAGAAAAACAGCTTTTCCACCAGTGTTTAAGAGCATATAGTCATGTTCAAAATTTATTTGCAGGCTTGGTTTAACCACAAAAATGTTTTTCCATTTTCCTGCAATTGTAACAGTAGTATAATTTATGGGACTACAAAATTAAACTTGTTTATCCACAATGTAGGTGGTGAGTGGGTCTTTTCCATCATGCCCTACAAGACATTTTAGCAACCACACAGATTTTGACTTATCTATATACTTGCAGTCAGTCATGCACAAATTATTATTTGTAAGGAGGATTTTTTAAGTGGTATTCTTTGCATTACAGATGTAAGGAGAACCAAGTTTAAGAAACTGAGACATCACATTCTCACTCCTAGAATGCTAATCTTTTTAGTCACCTCGACATACCAAAACCCCCTACTTACAGTGAATCCTGTTAATAGCCACCAAGGAGACTTTTTTCTGACCATTTTAACAGGTTAAGACAAGCTTTGACGTATTTAGGACTTTTCGATGTTTAGCTATTAATTACAGAACCAAAATAATAAATTTTTCGTTGCTTTTTAAAAAGAATCTCTCTCTCTCTTCCTCTACATTCTGTGCCTCCTATCTTCTCTGCACCTGTGGAGGTGTACAGATACCACAGAGAAATGCTATTAGAAATACCTGTACTGTTGCATGCAATACTTCCCATAGCGGAAAAAACACAACCCCTGAGAATCCTCACTTTTCCCACTACAGCTCTTATGTCACTGCTAGAGAAGCAAAAAGTGATCCCCCTTTTCTGCAGGGGAGTTTTAAAAACAGGGATGAGGAATAGCACAAACATGAACAGCGTTCTCCCAGGCTACCTGCTTTTAACCATTTAGCTTTTCAGACACAGGGGTACTTCCTTTACCATTTTCTGGAGCTTGCTTGCTCTGGAAAGGATAGCTGAAAGAGGGATAAGACACAGCGTGAAGCCTAGGCAACTCTCTGACACCACATTCTACAGGGCATTACCCTCTGATCCCACTGAGGGGTACCAAAAGAAACTGCACCATCTGCTCAAGAAACTCCCTGAGGCAGCACAGGAACAAATCTACACAGATACACCCCTAGAATACCCCTGTTCAGGGTTCTGCCACCCAAGATCCATAAACCTGGGAATCCTGGACTCCTCATCATCTCAGGCACTTGCATCCTGACTGCACGATTGTCTGGCTATGTGGACTCTCTCCTCAGGCCCTATGCTACAGCACTCCCAGCTATCTTCGAGACACCACTGACTTCCTGAGGAAATTACAATCCATTGGTGATCTTCCAGAAACACCTGATTAGGTGAAATGTAGACTTTTACATCCACAGTCTACACTATAGATATAGAAGCTCTCTACACCAACATTCCACACAGAGATGGACAACAAGCCGTCAGGAACAGTATCCCGGATAACGTCACGGCAGACCTGGTGGGTGAGCTTTGTGACTTTGTCCTCACCCACAACTATTTCAGATTTGGGGACGATTTATACCTTCAAGTCAGCGGCACTGCAATGGGTACCCTCATGGCCCCACAGTATATCAACATTTTTATGGCTGACTTAGAGCAACGCTTCCTTAGCTCTTGTCCCCTAGCGCCCCTATTCTATTTGCACTACATTGATGACATCTTCATCATCTGGACCCATGGGAGGGAGGCCCTTGAGGAAGTCCACCAGGACCTCAACAATTTCCATCCCACCATCAACCTCAGCCTGGACCAGTCCACACAAGAGATGCACTTCCTGAACACTACTGTGCAAATAAGTGATGGTCACATAAACACCACTCTATACCAGAAACCTACTGACCGCTATACTTACCTATATGCCTCCAGCTTTCATCCAGACAACATCACATGATCCATTGTCTACAGCCAAGCCCTAAGAGACAACCGCATTTGCTCCAATCCCTCACACAAACACCTACAGGATATCTATCAAGCGTTCTTAAAACTACAATACCCACCTGGAGAAGTGAAGAAACAGATTGACAGAGCCAGAAGGGTACCCAGAAGTCATCTACTCCAGGACAGGCCCAACAAAGAAAGTAACAGAACGCTATTAACCATCACCTTCAGCCCCCAACTAAAACCTCTCCAGCACATCATCAAGGATCTACAATCTATCCTGAAGGATGATCCCTCACTTTCATAGACCTTGGGAGACAGGACAGGCCCTCAACCTGAAGCAAACAGACAGACAGCAACTACACATCAGACAGCCCCTTAACCTGAAGCAAACTAACCAGCAACTACACATCACACAACAGAAACACTAACCCAGGAACCAATCCCTGCAACAAACTCCACTGCCAACACAGTCCACATATCTATCCAAGGGACACCATCATAGGACCTAACCACATCAGCCACACCATCAGGGGCTCGTTCACCTGCACATCTACCAATGTGATATATGCCATCATGTACTAGCAATGCCCCTCTGCCACGTACATTGAACAAACCGGACAGTCTCTACGCAAAAGAATAAAAGGACACAAATCAGACATCAAGAATTGTAACATTCAAAACCAGCAGGAGAGCACTTCAATCTCCCCAGATACTCAATAACAGACTTAAAAGTGGCCATTCTTCAGCCAAAAAAACTTCAAAAACAGATTTCAATGAGAAACTGCAGAACTGCAATTAATTTGCAAACTTGACACCGTCAAATTAGGCTTGAATAAAGACTGGGAGTGGCTAGGTCACTACAAAAAAAATAATTTTCCCTCGGTTGACACTCACACCTGCTCGTCAACTGCTGGGAATGGGCCACATATACCCTAATTGAATTGGCCTTGTTAGGACTGACCCCCCACTTGGTAAGGCAACTCCCATCTTTTCACATGGTATATATTTATATCTGCCTACTGTATTTTCCACTCTATGCATCTGATGAAGGTTATAGCCCATGAAAGCTTATACCCAAATAAATTTGTTAATCTCTAAGGTGCCACAAGGACTCCTTGTTGTTTTTGCTGATACAGACTAAGGCCTTGGCTGCACTTGCGAGTTATAGCGCAATAAAGGAGCCCCGGGCACACTAGCTCACTACCCATTTACACTGGCAAGGCATGTAGAGCGCTCTGACTCTGGCTACAGCGCTGCTGGTACTCCACCTTGGTGAGTGGAATAACGTTTGCTGCGCCCCCGCTGGAGTGCCGCGGCGCCAGTGTGGACGTCCTGGTCCTATAGTGCGCTCTGATCAGCCTCCAGAAGTGTCCCACAATGCCTGTGCTAGCCACTCTGGTCATCACTTTGAACTCTACTGCCCTGCCCTCAGCTGACCAACCGTCAGACCCGCCCTTTAAATTCTCTGGGAATTTTGAAAAATCTCTTCTTGTTTGCTCAGCCGGGCATGGAGTGCTCTCAGCGAACCTTTCCAGGTGACCATGCCTCCACGCGCCAGGCGAGCCCCAGTATGGAGCAATGGCAAGTTGCTAGATCTCATCAGTGTTTCAGGGGAGGAAGCTGTCCAGTCCCAGCTGCACTCCACCTGTAGGAATTACTATACCTTCAGGCAGGTATCAAGGGACATGATGGAAAGGGGCAATGACCGGGATGCACTGCAGTGCAGGATTAAAGCGAAGGAGCTGCGGAATGCATACCACAAACCCCGCAAGGCAAACCGCTGCTCCAGTGCTGCCCCCGCGACCTGCCGTTTCTACAAAGAGCTGGACGCAATACTTGGGGGCGACCCCACCTCCACTCTGAGGACCACGATGGACACTTCAGAGCCCAGTGCAACAAGGCAGGAGGAGCAGCAGCAAAGCAGGAGCGAGGGTGCTGAGACGGAGGAAGATGCCCCGGAATCCCGAGATGCATGCAGCCAGGAGCTGTTCTCAAGCCAGGAGGAAGGTAGCCAGTCGCAGCGGCCGGTGCTTGGTAAAGGACAAACACTAGAGGAGGTTCCCGGTAAGCGGCTTTTATTTTGGGAAGGAAGTTATTCGTGCGGCTCTTGGGGCGAGGAGGGTTTGGGCTGCATGCATGTCTAGATGCGGAATAGGGCGATGACGTGCTCTCTCACATCGTAGTAATCGGCCTCAGTGATCTCTTCAAAGGCCTCATCCAGAAATTGAGCAATGTGCTTGCGCAGGTTTCTCGAGAGAGCCACTGTGGTCCTTGTCCCAGTCAGGCTAACTTGTTCATGCCACTGTGCCATGAGGGGCGGGGGAACCATTGCTGCATACAGGCAAGCTGCGTATGGGCCAGGGCGGAAGCCGCATTGCAGTAGAAGACCCTCCCTTGCTTCCCAGGTCACCTTCAGCAGTGAGCTATCTTCCAGGACGAACTCCTGTGGAAAATGTGGGGACGGTGTTCAGTAAAGGGGGCCCCTGCTGCGGTTGGCTCTCCTCAAGGCACAGAAACCCAGAGGAAAGTACAGCTGTGAAACAATCAGTCACGCTTGACCCTGTGCTTACTCACCATTTTGGGGCTCCTGTGGGTCATGTGCGCTCGCTTTGGGACGGGCAAATTATGCTATTGTGTAGACTGTGCTTGCCCTTAAGTACGGGGGAATCATTGCTCTGTCTGGTATGAACAATGCTGCCTTTGTTAAGTGTTGCATTTTGCCTTTATAGATGCAACCTTGAATCAGAAAGAGGCCACGTAGAAGCAAGGAAGACATGTTGCATGAAGTAATTAAGCATTCAAGTAATGAAAATCAAAAAGTGCAGGAGAGTGAAAGGAGGGTCCGCCAGCAGAATGTGGATCACCGGCACCAAAGCACGGAGCGGCTGCTAAGCATCATGGAGCACCAAGCGGACTCGACACAGGCGCTCGTAGCAATACAGGCAGAGCACTACCACCCCCCCAAACCCCCCTTATCCCAAAATTCTTTCCTTTATGCCCCTATGTCACCTCCAACCCACTTTCCCCAACATCCGGGTTCTTACCACCACCAACACCTGCCTCCAACACCTGTAGCTTCACCACCCAGCCCTGAAAACTATGACCCTTACCCACTGTGCTCAACCCCCATCACCATGCAGTATAGCCATCCTGAAGTGCAGCACTCATTGCACAGCACTCCAGACAGGACATACGCAAATCGGTGATTGTACCATTCCACACCCCCTTGCCCTTTTTGTTTCCCAAGCAGTTGGGTCTCTTTTCAATAAAATAATTTTCTTTTAAATAAATGGATTTTTTGGCTTTGAAAACATTCTTTATTACTGCATAAAGTAAAAGATACCTTAGCCCAGGAAAGAAACAGACACTGCAAGTCAGTATAGCAAACACAGATTCCTACTAACATTGGAACCACTGCACCTCACTCCCGTGCAGGGCATCAGACATTACTGGTGGCTTTCAGCTTCAAATTGCTCCCTCAAGGAATCCCTAATCCTTGCAGCCCCACACTGGGCCCCTCTAATAGCAATGCTCTCTGGCTGTTCAAATTCAGCCTCCAGGTGTTGAACCTCCGAGTTCCATACCTGAGCGAATCTTCCACCCTTTCTGTCACAAACGTTACGGAGGGTACACCATGCGGATATAACTGCAGGGATGCTGTCATCGGCCAGGTCCTGCTTCTCCTACAGAGAGCACCAGCGGCCCTTTAGATGGCCAAAAGCACACAGTCATTCTGCATCGGCTCAGCCTGTTGTTGAACCACTCCTTGCTGCTGTCAAGACTCCCTGCGTGGGGTTTCATGAGCCACGGGATTAAAGGGTAAGCGGGGTCTCCAAGGATCACAATGGGCTTTTTGAATTCCCTATGGTGATCTTCTGGTCTGGGAAAAAAGTCCTGGCTTGCAGCTTCCTGAACAGGCCAGTGTTCTGAAAGATGTGTGCATCATGCACCTTTCCGGGCCAGCCTGTGTTAATGTCAATGAAATGCCCACGGTGATCCACAAGTGCCTGGAGAACCATCGAGAAATACCCCTTCCGATTAACATACTTGGAGGCTACGTGAGCTGGTGCCAGAATTGGAATATGCGTCCCACCTATTGCCCCTCTACAATTACAGAAACCCATTTGTGCAAAGCCAGCCACAATGTCATGCACATTACCCAGAGTCATGGGTCTTCTGAGCAGGATGCAATTAATGGCCCTGTAAACTTGCATCAACACGATTCCAACGGTTGACTTCCCCACTCCAAACTGGTTAGGGACCGATTGGTAGCTGTCTGGAGTTGCCAGCTTCTCCACCATCAGGGCAGCTCTCAGTCTTGTGTCCTTGTGCAGCAGGGTGGGGGTGAGCTTTTCTCATCCGAAAGTTCTGCAGCCACTGCTCGTCATCCCAGACTTGCATGACGATGTGATCCCACCACTCAGTGCTTGTTTCCCCGAGCCCAAAAACGGCGTTTCAAGGTGGTGAGCATGTCTGTGAATGCCACAAGCAAACTCGCATCACATGCACTACTCGAGTTGATATCATCGTCTGAGCCCTCACTGTCACTTTGGATCATAAGGAATAACTCGACTGCCAAAGTGATGTGCTGGCGAGACTCATCAGCATAGTCCTCAGCAGTTCGGGCTCCATTCCCGCAGACCGAAAGGGAAGACAGAGTGCGCAGTACAAAAAACGTTGAAAGATGGTGCCAAATGTGGATGGAAGCACAAGGATTGCTGGGATGTGAACCGATGCATCACGGGGCGTTGGGAGAGGACCCAGAATGCCCTGAACTCCCCGCCCCCTTCCCACAAGCCACAGCACCAGAATGGGAAGAGGTGCTCTGTGGGATACCTGCCCATAATACACCGCTCCCAATGCCGCTGCAAGTGCCGCAAATGTGGCCATGCCAGTGTGCTTGCAGCTGTCAGTGTCAACAGACTGCAGCGCTTTCCCTACTGCGCTCTATGAACGCGGGTTTAACTCACAGCGCTCTACATCTGCAAATGTAGCCATGCCCTAACACAGCTACCCCTCTGAAACCTGTCAATACAGCATGTCATCTTTAAACTGGGTTGTGTTCTCTACAGATTACTGTAGTAGGGCAGGTTGGGTGGGGTTCTTTTGTTTGTTGTTGTTTTTTGAGCAAAACCTTAAAAACTAACATCCTGTCTACTCTGCATGCCCAAACATTTCATAGCACTTGTCTTCAGAGCAAAGTTTTGTTTCTCACAATCTTGGCTAAAATTTGCATGCCTGACCACAGCCCAAGCGGCACAGCCTACTAGCGGTCTCCTGTCCTGCACCCTAGGTAGCTTTCTTTAAGCACGTAGTCTGGTACCGGGGCGGATTTGACGGTAGTAGTTATCCGGCTCCGTGGCTAAGACCATCATGCGCCCCTCCCCCCCTGGGGGGGACAAATAAGTTGGGGGTGTGCACGTGCATGGAGAGAGCGACAGACCACACAACAGTAGCCGACCATGGGCCCAGGGTCCAGCGCAGCAGAACCCGGGCTTTGCACCCACCCGCTGCCAGGGAAACGTCCCAGGGCCGGGGGACCGTGCCAGGGGCTGGCGGCCCGTCCAGCGGGGAAGGGCGAGGGACAGGGGGAGAAGAGGGGGAGCCGGGGGGGGGGGCAGCGGGGGCTGAGCCCCGGGCCCAGGAGGCGGACAAGAGGCGCCGGATACGCGCCGCGGCCGTTACCTGCTGCCTGTCAGGCTCTTTGCTTTTCTGGCCCTGCTTCCGCGCGTACCACAGCCCGATGTCGCGGCCCTTGAGGTGGCTGGGATGCCGGCCCCGGCCCCCGCGGCCTTCGGGTCCCCCCGCGGAGGAGGAGGAAGGCCGGGGGCCCCCTCCTCCTCCGCGGCTCCAGTCCCTGCGGTGCTCGAAGCTCATCCTGCTCCGCTCAGGTCGCCGCACGGGGTAGGACGCAGGGAGCGGAGCACCCTCAAGAAGCCGGCGGCAGCGCCTGGCGGAACCGGAAGTCGACCCTTTCCTCACTTCCGTTCCACCTCGCAACGCCTCCGAGGGCGCTGGCGTGTCGCTGTGGCAGGCATCAGCACGTTCCCCGGCGCGCGGGCTGCTGGTCCAAACCTAGCGGGGAGCGCTGTGCGGGATGTGTTGGGAAATTCGGGGGGAGGGGAACAGACTCCCGAACTGTGCCAGCGTGTCGCAGTGGTTAGAGTGGCCGCCTGGTACCCTCGTAGACCGGGGTTCTAATCCCGGCCGCCCGCATGGGGGTGGGGGCTTTGCTCAATCACACTTTCCTTCCCTTCTCCGCGGTCCGTGAAGCGTCCTGGCTGTGCTTCGCTATGAGCTCACAGGGCCTTTTTCTAGGCTGGGTTGGTGCCTGTCTATGCAGTGAAGCGGGAGGAGTCAGCCCGTGACTCAGAACCTTTCTCCCTTTGAGAAGGAAAGCCTAGAATCCACCTCTGCCCACCCTGTTAACTCTGAAACCTACAGACAACACCAGCGTCCAACCTTACCAGCCAGAAATGTGGGAACAGTGTAAAATGCAGGGGCTACTGCACTCCTTTTACTAGTCATGTCACAAATAAAAGTGTGATGTAAAAACATCTGTAGATGTAACCCACACACCTCCTGGGTATGGTGTTCTGTCCCCTCTAAATGGTACCAAGACTACTTAGAGATGAATGAGTCTGCTACAGCCCTGGCTAACGGCCAGGTGGCTTTTGGCTCATGCATTAAGCTTCATGGGTCCCAGGTTTGACCCCGCCCGCCACCAATCAGGGTCTGTTGGTGTTACATAGATGCCGAAGAATTTTCACTACAGTCCTGCAGCACCCAGGCACCTTGCTACAGAGTAGAAGCCATGTGCTGCACTGTCAAGTGCCTTGAGTTAAGGAGCCACTAAATCCAGGAGCACAACAAACAGGTAGGGACTATGTACTGGAGGCTAGATCAAGTATTGCCACTGTTCTTGGGCATTGTCCATTAAGACAAAGTTATCACATTACACTATTGTGATATATATGTTGTAATGTTGCATCATCATTTGCATCATCCCCAGATAGGTTTCAGGGTTGTTTTAATGTCCTGAAAATGTGGGACAGGCCTAACAGCTTTAGTACAGTGGCTTGAGAGATGCCAGTTTATCTGGGCAGAAAACAATAGACATCTATTCTGGTCCATCAGGTTATCATAATGGATCCTCTATTGCACTGGAAGTCACCATACACTATTTAGCAGAAGGAAAATGAGAGAATGCTTTAATTAGGCAAGGAGAAAATAGCAAAAGCACATATTCTGGCTGGTTAGCCTTGCTGTTAAATGACCTAGGCTGATGGAAGCAGGATGGTTAGCTGAGGGATTTATTTGGACAGTTTTAGTCAAACATCTTGGCCAACTCATCTAAAATCCAGGCTTAGAGCTCTGGATGAGATATTTGCCTTTTACTTTTCATATGAATTTCTGACAGTCTTTGTTTTAGAAATGTTCTGCTCCAACAGCTGAAGTCAACTTAAAGATTTCCAAACATTTAAAAACACCCTGTAAAGTGTTTTTTGTTCTTTATAGGTGACACACTTCCCTCTAAGACCATAGAAAACCAGTGTCCCAGAATAGTCCTAAATGGTGCTGTGCTTTCAGAAGAGCCAACTTGTTTGAAAGACAATCCATACTCCATGGTCAGAAAAGATTCAGTCTTATTTTTCACAAGAGTATGGGTATTAACCCCCATGTCATCTCTAAATACCAATGTGAGTAGTTACATCAACTGAAAAATGTGCCTGTAGTTTCAACCAAAGATTTTATTTGCCCTTCCCTTCTTGAGGCAGTAGCTATTATGACTGTGGAGAAAGCAGCAACATCCAATGTGATTCTCTGATTTATTGTTAAACTATAAATCTTATAAAAAAACACGGCTCAGGATGGGTGTTTCTATTATTGGGATTTTTATAGTCTATCTACATTTAGACTAGTACTAGTTCTGGATGTTCTGTGTTGATTGCTGCTTTATGTAGTAAATTTTGTCCAAGCTCTGAAATGTTAAATTAATTCTTTTAGGTTATTAATCTTTCACTGTTAATTAAATTAATACTCCTTTTGTTTCCTTGAGTAACATTGTGATGCTATAAACTGGGGATCAGCAACCTTTGGCCCACGACCCGCCAGGGTAAGCCCCCAGCAGGCCAGGCCGGTTTGTTTACCTGTCGTGTCCGCAGATTCGGCCGATCGCAACTCCCACTGGCTGTGGTTCGCCATTCCAGGCCAATGGGAACTGTGTGAAGTGGTGTCCAGCACATCCCTCGGCCCACACCGCTTCCTGCAACCCCCATTGGCCTGGAGCGGTGAACCACAGCCAGTGGGAGCTGCGATTGGCTGAACCTGCAGACGCGACAGGTAAACAAGCCGGCCTGGCCCGCCAGGGGCTTACCCTGGCTGGCCGCGGGCCAAAGGTTGCCGATCCCTGGTTTATAGCATCACAATATCCCTGCTATAAATGGCTCTTGACTCTCATTTCTCTATAGCATTCTTTGCCTTCTCTGCTTTGTTGTCAGTCTACCACTCTTCACAGCATATGCTTTGAAGTCTGATTCTCCAAAATACCAACTATCCAGCGCACTAGTTCTCAAATTTGTTTCATGTTAACAGCCGCCTCTTAAAACAGTTCTGTTCTCGTAGACTAATTTCCCTCGCAAGTCCCAATGCTACAGTTTACCCCGATCTAATCTTACAATTCCAGCACTTGGTTACATAAAATAATAGTAAGACAGTACTCTGGAAGCAAGATGAAAATAAACACAGATACATAATGGGGGCAGCTGCTTGACTACATGCTTAACCCACCCACCGCCCTTTGTTTGGGACAGACGAATGCATAATTGAATCCGTCTCTCTCCCTCTCTTGTACTGGTTCATGCTTTACATTGTGATGGAAGAAACTCTGGGCACAATCTATCAGCTCATGGTTTAAGAACTATTGGAGCACTGGGTTTGAGATCTCTATATTCAGAGTTCTTATAGTCATATATCCCTTCATTAAATAAAAAGGGAGTCTTGACAAGGGCAGTGAGAGTGCTCAAAGTCATCACTGTAAGACCAGGGATCGACAACCTTTGGCACATGGCCCATCAGGGAAATCTGCTGGTGGGCCGGTTTGTTTACCTGCAGGTTCGGCTGATTGCAGCTCCCATTGGCTGCGGTTCACTGTTCCAGGCCAGTGGGGGCTGCGGAAAGCGGCGGCCATGACATTCCTCGGCCCACACCACTTCCCGCAGCCCCCACTGGCCTGGAACAGCAAACTGTGGCCAGTGGGAGCTGCGATTGGCCGAACCTGTGGACGCTGCAGGTAAACAAACTGTCCCCACCTGCCAGAAGATTTCCCTGACAGGTTGCGTGCCAAAGGTTGCAGATCCCTGCCATAGACCATGGAGGCTTAGTACAATTCATGAGGTTTCCCTGGTTACTGCATGCAATTGCTTTCTGTGGAGTCCTAGGCAGATGGGCAATAGTAGCAAGAGCTTTTCCTGCCTCACTACAGAACTGGAGGGAGCCAGCTCTCTCAGATTTTAACACAGATTTGTAGGGGTAGGGATGGAGGGTGTCTTTGCTGACCCTGCCTCTGAAGATTGTATTCGGGGAGGGACCAGCCAGTCACCCTAAAAGCATCATATAGGAGGGGATGTACAACTACAAGCCTACACTTCCCACCTCTCAAAATCCACCATAAGCTAAGAAGTGGGGTACAGGGAGAAGTCTACCCATTAGGACAGTGTCAAGCAGGATTTTTTGTTCGTTTTTGTACAGCAACAGAGGGCATGCAAGGACTGAAACCTGGAAGCATGCACAGTAGCTGAAAATATTAATTCATATATGGGTATCTGACATTCATCCTTTTTAAGTAATCCAGTAGTCATAGGTTGGGGGATCAGGTTAGACAGCAGATGCTTTTAGATGACCAAGTAGCATCTGTGATCAGGACAGATTTTCTTTCATCTGTACTTAGCCAGAAGATTGCAGGCTCCCCGCACCCCCCTTTTCTTTTTTCTTCTTCCGCCAGATGCTGCTCTTGCTACCATCATCCATATCTCTGTCACTTCAAGATTAGATTACTGCTATGAGCTCCCCATAGAGCTACATTGTAAGACTATTCAGAAGCTCACTTGGTAAGTGGAGTGTCCTACTGGGAGTTCTGGATGCCATAAATACCTGTCATGAGTTCTCTGTGATGTGTTCCGGTTTCCAAGTAGAAATTAAGGTGTTATCGTTTGTATTACCATAGCACCTAGGAGACGTAGAAATGGACCTGGACCCTATTGTGGTAGGCACGGTACAAAATACAGAGCCTAAAATGGCCTGGGACATGTCTATATGAGAAATCACTTTCCCATGCTATCCTGTGAGAGCTGACTTCAAACTATATGCTCAAACTCGGTCCCTTAGTAAATAAGGGAGAGGCATCTGCAGGCAGGGCTCCTCAGCTTTGGAATTCACTCCCCAGCTTGGTCTGAAAAAGCCCAGATATGTTGACAGTGAGGGCACGTGTGTCTCTGGGAGCCACTCGATACTAACTGATAGAGGGCACACCATACTGTTACTCACATCTGGACTGATCCACTCATTTCCCCAACACACTGTTGTCATAATGTGTATCTTAAAGGTGTCATGTAAGGGATCTTATGCAAACTGGTAACACGCTGGTCCTAAACTTAGGGTTCAGTGCTCTCTGAAAGGTGGATCATCTTGGCCTGGGAGGCAAGCGTAGCTGGAAACTGCATATAGGTGAGAAACCTGCTAAGACAAAAATAAAAACTTGCTGAAATTACGTTTTAGTCACTAGAAAGCATGTTTTGTTTTACTTGTAACCACACCTATTTCTTTTATTCTTCCTTATTATCACTTAAACCTTTCTTCTTTGTTAATAAACTTATTCTTGTTTCTTTACAAAACCATCACAGGGCTCTGTATTACAGTGAAGTGTGAGTCTTCAGCTAACCTAACGGGCTGGTGTGTGCTCTGTCTCTTTGAAGGCAACAA